CCGTGTGCCGGTGTCACCTCAGGTGTCGGTCTCCTATGGCTGGTCCTTTTTCAGCCAGTGCTCCTCTGGCAGTGTCGCCTCCGGTGCGAGACCCCTGTGGAGGCAGCGCCCCTTTGGCAGTGTCGCCTCAGGTGCCTGCTCCCTGTGGAGCCAAGGCTGCGGTCCCGTCTGTCATTGCCCACACGTCTGTGGGTGCTGGGACCGTGCCCTTGAGAGCCCCACTGCTGTCCCCACCAGGAATTAGGAATTAGGGCTGTTTCATGCTCCCCCGTCACCCATACTGTTCTTGCATGCAGGCAGGCATGCCTCCACACCCCTGTGTCCTGCTGGACCCGCAGAACCGGGCCGGTCTCAGCAATAGCCTTGTTCTGACGGTCCTGCCGAGGTGTTTGAGGGCTGCGTGTCTCAGACTGCATCTGCCAGGAAAGGCAGAGACCAGACAGCAGGAATTTGTGTTTGACAGCAGCTACAGCCGGGGTGCAGGTTAATCACGACGTACAAAGGTACAAATGTTTGATGAGCGCAGCCATGGATCTATGGCAAATTAAGATTCATGTGCTTCAGAGTCTTTGCAAATCGTTGACATCACACAACAGGGAATGGTCCAAAACAAATTTCCGTATGGAGACCCAGGGCAAGGTTCAAATTCAGCACCATCTCTGGTGTCTCAGTGTTGCAGCAAGTGCAAGAATTGCTGTCAGAGCTGAACTTACTCCCGAAGTTTTTGTCTTGCCCATTCCAGCCTGTAATTAGAGCTGCACTCCGCTGTCCTTGTTGTTTTTAATGAGAAAATAGCATAATATGAAAGGAAAGCACAGAACCATCCAGTTTGCCCTACTTGGCTATGTAAAGAAATGCATTTAAGAATCTGAATTATTTGATTTTTGGTGTTTTAACAGGTTAAAACGACAATCAGTGGTATGGAGGAGGACTTAGAAGTGTTCCAGGAACAAGCTGTGACTAAGTACGTAATGACTTACTCTCTTGGGAGTTGAATATATGATGGAATTGAACTATGTATGTTTATTAAACATGGGAAATGCAAAATATTAATGATTTTGGAAGCAAACTTGATTCTGTATTTCTTCTGCTTTCCATGCAAACTGGAGAAGGTGCTGATAATTAAGACAAGACATGTTTTTGCTTTGGCTAGTAGTCTACTCACTGTTTCTGTTCGTTATTTTAATGTTTTAAATATTCATACCTGAACCGGGGGGAGGGGGGGAGGATGAAAGCTATGTAGGGTTTTATTAAGATGTTAAGAAACGTTATTTCAAACTTTTTTCTTTAAAAGTACTTGGAGTTGCTAGGCTACAGCAATATAAACTTACATATCACAGCTCTTAAAACATTAAGAATCCTGAAAACAAGATTCATTGCTAAAGCCCTAGCCTTTTTTGCACAGATAATAACTACAACTGTTCCCCCAAAGTATTAAGTGCACTTTTCATAAGAGCACATAATAATTTTTTATTTTTATATAATCCAAGTTTAGTTCTTTTAATGTTAATCTGTAAAATATGTTAGTATTTAGTTAATCTAAAAAATATGCTAGCACAGTCTTTCTAAAGAAATGAGAACATGAGTAAGATTTGATGTAGGAACTCGTCCCATTCAGCAATTTTAAGAAACAAACAAATATAAGAAGTACTTCCCCACTTAATTACTTAAAACAGAATATTTATCCATCATAATTTTGTAAGTAGACTTACTAACTACTTTTCAAATAAACCAGGTTATTCTGCCATCATTACCAAGAAACAACCCAACGTGATATGACACATATTAAGTGTAAAAGTATTTCTTAAAATAAAAGAGGCATGATCTGCCATACCTTATTCTGGCCCAAGAAAGTTTTCAATGGGATTTAAAAGTGTTCTTTGAGGGAATTCTTTTTTCACATCATGGTTACATGATTTGTAAAAGTAGCTATATAAAAACTTGAATTAGAAAAACCCAAAAGTATTGCTATTCTTTGACTACAAGTCAGAAGCATATTTCAGAAATTCAGAATTCTGCCTTTCCTTTATTTTAATCAATATATGGAATTTCAGACTATTTGCAGATGCATCCAGAAGAATTTGTCCCATCATAAGCCATAATTTTTTGCTAGCTAGTTAGTTCCATTAACTATACAAAGATGCTGGAAGAGTAGCTTAGGATACATCTTCACTGAAAAGAAACAATTTCAGTCTGTGCTGACAGTATTCCAGGGATAATACAGTGCCTTTAAAACTTGGGATAATGGCTGAGTAATGGTGGTGAAAATCATGACAATTACATTCCAGCTGCAAGGACTCATAAATCACAAATTGTCTATGCATAGATGTGTATGATTCAGTATGGCTGAAAGTTGTTAAACGAGTTGGTTGTAGTTCTTATAATGGAACTTTGGGGTAGAAGATTCTACCACAACTGGTTTGTATATTTTCTATTTTTAGAGCACAGTTTGCAATAATTAAATTCATTAGTATTGACTGTAGAAGCTGTGGTAAATATCCAAATCTAATGAATATACTATGTAAGATTGAATGTTTTACTTTTGTTTGCATGAATATGACCATACTTACGTGCCTATTTGTGAGCAAATATAAATAATATGGGAAGAAGGTATAAATTCAAAACAGACAGTATGAACCAAACATTTCTTAAATCATCTGTTTTTAAGTAACAACTTTATTCTAGAGTGTATGGACAATACCATTCTTTCTACCATTCATTTTTCTGTCTGTTAGGAAACAATCACAAAAATGCAGACCTATGCAGAACTCCAAAGCAAAAGATGGATGAATAGACCTAGAAAGGTCTAACCAGTGCAAAAATCCTTTTTGATAACAAAAAAGGCCTGGAGGTGGTGAAACTTTTTATCTGGATTTTTGCCTAAATTTGGAAACATTTTGTTTTACATGAAGATAAATAGTTATTAATGACAGTAGAATATGACTCATCTCTATTTTCACTTATATGGAGACAGAATAAAAGAAGATTAAGAGCTTGCCTACATCACTTTGAAATGAGATAACTTTAAGTGTTTTGAGCTGTTTCAAAGTAAATGAACAAAAAAAAAAATAACTGCCACTTGCTGAAGTACAGGTCATTACTTCCCTGTGTGGCAAATCCATTTGAGGTATGCATTCAGCAAACTGGTAATGCTGAATACACATGGGGAAAAAAAGCCCATGCATACTTCTTTGCTTATGAGAAAATGTGTTCTTTGTGTGTTTGCTTAGACATGTCTTACTAAAGAAACCATTGCATTCCATATCCCGTGATCAAAATAAATTCTCACGACTGTGGTGCCAGAAATTTGGCCATATTCTGAGGGAGCTAATGAGCACTCTTTCCAAAACACTAGTGGACTAAAGCAATAGTTACTGCACCAAGCAGCATCTCTCTGCTAGTGAGTGGGGATAACTGCAGGTCTGTCTTCAATACCAGAGCCTTGGTACAGAGTAGTTTTGGTAGTAGAACAGCAGCTGTAATCTACAACTTCACATATTGATTTCCTTTTGCAGCTGCAAATGTGATTAGAGGATCCAGGTAGGAAACTAAAGAAAGTGAAGACAGACTGAGGAGCTGTTTCAGAAGGGGTTTTTCTTTCAACAGTTCCCTTTTATTTAATCATGACTCTAGATTCAAGAAGCATGGAAGAACTGTTAAGAGAAATTTTTTATTAGCAGCAAATGTGGAATTTGCCATGTGCAGGAAGATCTGAAAGAGGCAGGTGAAATTTTAGAGTGAAAGGTGTCAGCCATGATGGATCTGAAAGGGTAATCTGATGATCTGGGCTAGAAGTTGAGTTCTTACTTGCATAACAATGTTTAGATTATCCACATGACACACGATAAAGCAAGCACCTGTTTCTGAAGGCTAAAATAGTACAGCTGAGTCATTGCTGGTGGTTCACCAAAGCGTTGCCATTAGAGGAGGCTGAAGTGCACAGGTCTTTACAGCAGTATCAAGGAAAAGGTACTCCTGATGTAACAGGTAGACCTGTTAAAGCAGTATCACTTTATCTTCTGTTTTCAAAACCCCCTTTTATATTCCACCCAGAGGCAGCAAAGTTTACCCATCATTAATGCTACTTTTGAGATGGGTTCCAGGCACTTAGGAGAGGGGTGTTTTTGTTTTGAGCAATATACATCACTTGCTTGCATTTCGGCTATTGTCATCCTGTGATTCATATTAAATTTCAAAACAGCATTACCAACAGTTTTAACATTAAAAAGTCATTAAGATTTATGTGTGCAGTTAAAAAGCTCTTCCAAACTTAACATTGATACCATCACAGTTTCAAGGATTTGTGGATATAAAAGAAGTTCTAAAGAATTTAACTTCAAAAAATCATGCTAAGTTTTAATTATGATGTTACAAATCTAACAAATTCACTCAAACTTCCTGTAATAATTATCAAAACAAGGGATGTGCACAATTTAAGCACCAAATAAAAGATTTGTGATATCCACATTAAGGAGCTGTTTTTTCAGTGTAGTGCAGTCAAAAGTTGAGCATGCAGGCAAACTCAAGATTGATGAGTGAGGTTCCACCTACAGTTGAAAGCATCATTTAACTTTCTCATTTATTTGTTTCTGTTGTTGAAAAGTGGTTAGTTTGGTCACAATTAAAATGGAATTGTAAATAAATGTAAATAAAAATTTGTTTTCTCCCTTATTCTTTATTTGAAAAAATAAATTTCTTTATGTTTTTAGAGCTTCTCCATGTGAAGCTGAACTTCAGGAATTAGTGCATCAAATTGACATCATGGTAAACAGAAAGCAAGTAGAATGGGAAAGAAAGATGAGAGCTTTGGAAGCAAAGATGGATATCCAGGATCAAGAATTAGCAAGTGCCCAAAGCAAACTGGATCAAAAAGGTCAAGAGGTATTTAAGAATATCACATTCTGTAAAGAAAGTATTTATTCTTGTAGTTTCTTATTAGCATGCTTTAAATTCTCCATATGACCATTTGTTCTATCATGTAAAAATACCAAACACCCCTTAAAGGTCACTAATTATCCTTAGTGTTTTGTTTTAAAGTGTGCTTCTGTCCTGAAAAGTGATTGTAAAAATGTCATTGAAAATCTCATATTTCTTCTATTTCCCTAAAGTCTACATCAAATATTCTCGGGTTAGCTGTAAAAAGATAGTTTGGTGGTTTTTCTAAATGCCAGCATTTCTCATTTCATCAGAAAGTTTAAATGGAAGAATGCTGTTCAAAAAGGTTCCCCAAATCATGTCTTTGTTACTCCCGTTTATTCCTGGTTTTTAACATTTTACATAATATACTGTCTTTGTATGATAATTTTACTCATTGTGAAGACTTGAAATCTATTACTACTTCAACTTTCATATGAAACTTAAAGCCCCAGTGTACCTGGAGTTGTCTGTATTTCACAGTCTTTTCTTCTGAATAATTATTCAGAAGCATCAAGAAATCCTTGCATAGCATTCAGTTCTAGCTCAAGCCAGCTGAATTTTGCATGAAGGAATCCTTGTGTGAGCTAGGTGGCTAAATTGCCTGTGGGAGTTTTGGAAATGGAGTGACTTTCCCTAATGAGCAATTAGGAACTTCCCCTTAGTCCCTGCAGTCAGAAGGAACCAAGACAAGAATTCAAGTTGCCCATCCTGAAAGCATCAATTTATTTGCTCTATAGAGACATTATCTGAAATACTTCAGCATATTCTACCAAGCTTCCAAGTGCCCCTCCAGAAAAGCACAGGTGCTGTGTATGCTCTATGTTGTGTTTCTCGGGTCTCTGTGAAACTCAGTAATAATTTATGATATCACAAATGGCACTGCACTTAGGGAGCTGAAATGAGTCCACAGTATCTTCTGGTGATTTGTACATAGATCCTGGAAGGTAATTTGTATCATTTTATAAGACAAGCAAGGAAAATTTTCACAATGGGAAACACTGTAGTTGCATTTTAAAAGCTTTCAGGCATGGTCTTTCATGACAGACTTGTACAATATTATGACTAAATCATAACATCAGTGTGTAATGAGATTTTTTACCGTAAAATTCCTAGTTTGATGTTGACAATCTAGGTCTGTGGGATGCAGTTCTATTATCAAGTGACTGATTTAATACTTATTTGTAATATCTCTTCTTAAAGCAGTGATCTTCTTTTAAAGTTTCAAATTACTTTCCCAAAAATAACATATTTTGAAAAATGTCATAAAAGGTACATTTGAATGCTTATTTTAACTTTAGGTGGGACTACTTCAACAAGAATTGGAAAACTTACAGAAAACTAAAAATGAAATGGCTCAGAGTTACGAAACTCAGCTTCAAGCACTGAAATCTCAAGTAAGAAAAATGTCAGTTTCATTATTTTGTGATTGCAGTATAAAAAGCTTACATATGCCAAATTGTATAGATATGCCATCATGTATTTGGGAAAAATGAATTGTGTCATACAAATGATGATGGCTACAGCTTCCTACCAGGCTCCATTATAATTTATGTACTGTCATGTCAAAACTCTTTGGATGGATTTTGATGTGAATGTGACATCTGTTATGAAGACAAATACTTGATTTCCTAACTTCAGACTAATAAACTAAAGCCTTGGTGAATTAATGAAACAGGTAATTGGATTCATGTTAATATGAGTCTGATGCATGCTAGGGATTTTAAGAGTTATACTGTGCTTATCATGTCTTTGCTATATCTTTTTCTGGTTTTAGTTTCCCTGATGTACACAACTGTTAAAGTCGCCTGTTAGCTTTCCATAAGGTATAGATTTCCCTTGTATCAAAACTGGAGTAACCCACATTAATGATGTTGGGAATTTGTTCTGACTTTATTTATTTCAGAGTGTTCATGCAGCCTAGAAAGCCAGTTGTAACCCGGGCTGCATAAAAAAATGGAGGGATGTTTTTCTCTCCCTTTTCTGCTGTGCTGAGGCCCCACCTGCAGTGCTGTGTCCAGCTCTGGGGTGCCCAGTACGTGGAAGATTTGGACTTGTTGGAGCAAGTCAAGAGGAGGCCATGAAAAAGATCAGAGGAGTCTGGACCAGCTCTCCAGTGAAGACAGGCTGAGTGAAAGGACAAGGGTTTTAAACTGAATGAGTGCAGATTTAGACTGTACCTGAGGAACAATTTGTTATTTTTTTCAGTGGGGGTGATGGGATGTTGGAAAAGGTTGCCCAGAGAAGTTGTGGATGCCCCATTCCTGGAAGTGTTCAAGGCCAGACTACATGGGGCTTAGAGCAAGCTGGTCTTATGCAAGGTGTCCCTGTTTATGGCAGGGGAGTTGGACTAGATGGTCTTTGAAAGGTCCATTTCAACCCAAACCGTTCTGAGGTTTTATGATGCAGTTTGGCTGTGTTTGCTCTGCATCTGTCTTTTTGTTTCTTCAGTATTTTCTACTTCAATCATGAATATAAATTCATAGCAAACTTGAATTGATTCTGTTTCTCAGATTTTAACAACTAAGGTACACGACTCTGCATTGTTTTTCCTGCTACTTTTCTGTTCCCTTCACTGGATTCTTCTACCAGAGATGTAGTGTTATAATTCAGAATTTCCAGTCACCACACTTAGTATATAATGATGTCAGATTGCATAAATTGAGTATCTTTATTTTCATTTAGAAGTGATAGTACACCTGAGTCCATCAAATGAATAAATCTATTACTTATTTTTAATGTTATGTTCTATTTAATTTATATTTTCTTTTACAATTGAAAATGGATTTGGAAAACAATTCTTTAAATAGGCAGTGAATGCTTTGGCTGTTTTGTAATTAACACTTCTAATCATTTGGAAAAGTAGCTAGAAATAAAAGCTGGTTTATAATTTACACAAATTGCAGAAAAGCATCATCTTAGCATGATTGTTGAGAAGATAAACATCACATAATGAAAAGGAGTGTGACATTTTATGCATAAGTAGTAGGGTATCTTTTAGCAGTGCAGAACTATTCTCAGAAATATAGTAAAGCTCTTTTTTCTTTATAAGATTTGCTGCTATATTTTTCACTTCTTAATTATTTTTTTATCCTGTGCTAAAAATGCTTGGGTTTATGTTACATGTTGTTGCTAATATCTTCACTGAAATTGAACCTTCTGAAATTGAAAGTCCAGGCAATTTTTCATAAAGATTTTTATTTTGGTGTGTTTAATTATCCTACAAGTCCTTACCACGGGCAAATACAACCTGTTTTCTCTTTTATTTTTTTAAAGAACCTGACATTTTCTAACCTACAAGCTTTTCTCTTTAAATCTGGTTATATTTCCTCCCCAAACTATCCTTTTTAGTTACCACTCAGACCATTTAACATTTCTTTGGGTTTCTTGATTGCTTCTTCTACTATCTTTATGCAAGATAAACTAGATAGAACTTTGGATTTCTGGCTCTTGAGAATATTGGTCACTTTCCCAATCCATATCTCCTAACATTACGTTCCCTCAGTCATCCTATTCCTTTTTCTAAAGGTTCCAGCACTGATGCTGTTTGCATTTTATTTTCCAGTGCCCATTCCTCTCCTTTGACCGTACGATATTTCTTCATGAAATATCCAACTCATTCACCTTGACTGAAAAAGAAAACTGTTAAATGCCTCTGTTAAGGGACCTGCCTTGATTCTCCATGTGATGAACAGAAGTCTGCCTGTCAGAACAATTCCTAGCACCTATGCTAGACAATAGGACTGTCCCACTCTGCTCCTCTAGCTTTTGCCACATCTCCTTACTGAGTTTCTTTCCTGGATTACAGTGCTGCATTTTCTGCAGTGGAATGACTTTAATGTCCCAAATTCTGAGCTACACAAACTCTTATCTAAAATATAGACCTTATATGGCAATATTAATTTTTGCCTTATCTCCTTTGATTCCCTTCTTTCAGTTCTTATTCTCACTTGGAAGTTATACCACCTTCTAAACGGTACAATCTTACGAGCTACTATTTAGTTTTGCACAAATTGTGTGTTACTATATACCAGTAGCATTGTATCTTCTCTACAGATGTATTCTTAAAATCCCGCCCAGGATTTCTTCCTTCCTAATAGTGATAAAAATAGTAAGGATGACTTTTTCTAGCTGTCAGAATGCTAGGCTATTCAGAATGAATTTCTTTTCTGTTTAATGAGCAGTATTCCCTCTGAATTGATTGTGTGCCTGTTGAATGCAGTAAAACCTATATTTTTCTTGTATTAGGGAAATAATTCCTAGTATGTAACCTGAAACTCCTAGACTACAGTGTTGTATTTGTTCAAACATTCGTTCAGCATTTTGTCCTAACTAAATAGCAAAAATTTCTGAGGTTCATCTGCATTACTTTGATCCTTCTTTTTCTTTTTTATTTTTTTATATTAATGCCTAGTAAATATTCTGACTTTGAAAGTGATGGAAATCTCTCAGCAAAAGAACAAGGATTCTTTCTTGCTCTAAGAACTTTGCAACTAATTTCCTCACTTAGACGTGTAAAACTTACATCTGAGCTATCCCAAGCTCCCTTTAGAATCACCAAAAAGAAATGAACACCCTCAGAATACAGTTTGTGTCAGTGTATGAGAAGAATTTAAGATAGCTGAAATGACTAAGCATTTACAGGCAGATTTTTCTGATGCAGAGTATCTCAGGCTTGTATGTGTAACTTTCAGAAATCTAAGTAAGATGGATTCTACCCCAGAACTCACTAAAATGCCTTTTTTTTTTTTTTTAACGTGCACAACATGCAAACAGAACAACTTCGACCTTTTAAAGCAAATATCTGGCCTTAAATGAAAGGATTTTGTCTTTCAGTCTGGTTTCCAGTCATTGTAACATCCAGACAACAATTCGCCTTTAATATCCTACTGTCATTAAATATCTAAGATTCAAACTAAATGTTCTCATTTTGACCACGCTGTTCCATTTTGGCCTGATTTACCAAATTTTTTGGATACTATATTTCCTAGCCTTTTTAGCATAAGCATTCCAATACCTGTCTTATCTGAATTGAGTCTTCCCAGGCAGTTCACATTTGCCATAATATATTCAAGAGCAAAACTCTTATTTGAAAAAGGATATCTTTCTTCCAAGGTCAATGAGTTCCATGTTGTTTGAGCCTGGATACTCTGACTCATTTTAAATATTTTATCTTAACTCTGTTCTCTGACAAAGTCAATTTCAAATATAGGCAGCTTCACTGCAAGACTTTTGATTTGGGTTTAAAGGTGATAACTCAGCTCTGTTATGCCCATGTTACAGAATTGCTATTCAGACATTCTGAGTTGGTGAAATCTGTGCCTGGGCCTCTTCATATCATGAAACTTCCTAGTCCAGGACAATCTGTCTTCTTGTCATCTTTTCAATTAGTTTTTGCTGTCCCATATTATGATTCTCAAGTTCATCTCAAATGTGTCTAGGAAGTTTCCAGATTATTTTTTAATTTGTTTCTGGTCTGTATCTTTTCTAGACTTCTTTTTGCCATGTTTGTTATCTGAACAGATCTCAATTGCTCATTCAGTGTTGACTCAACAGGATTCCATTCCATTTCCAAACACGAGTTCACTTTGAGCTGTTAACAAATATATGAGATTTTATGGATTTTGTTCAGGTATACAAAGAACTTTACATGAGAGTCAGGTTTTTTCAAAGGCATGTATATTTTAATGTAAAGGAACTAAACAACAAGAGACATGATCAGTATTCATTGGAAGCTTCTTTTCTGCATAATATTCTTCCCAAAGTCCTTTCACTCAGCTTTCCACAAGATGGTATTTTTAGGGTTTCCTTTATCAGTATCCTTGGGTCTGCAATTTTTTTTAACCAAATGTACATATTCCTAGCAAACAGTATCACTTTTCTGTATCAAATCTGTAAACAGGCACTAGACAGACCCTTTGTTTTGTGCAGTGTGATGTGAAAAAACTGATGTGAAAACTGGCTGTTTTTCTGGAGAGGCTGGTCCTTCTCCTGGCGCCTTTTCTTCTGTGCCTCTGACTCCTAAGCCAGGCTTTCATGGTGACATGTAGGCAGTGTCTGTTGTCTATTTAGGTCTAATTCTGAGACCCACACAGTAGTACCAGAAGAGTGCCATCATCACACACATAACATTTCAATAATTTTCATCATAAGAAAGAACATGCAAGTTTAGTGTACGTTAATGATAATCTTTCATTCTGACTAGTGAAGCACCCTTTAAATTGTCAACACAAGATGGCAGTAAACAAGTATAGAACAATCCATATGAACACCGTAGAGGAAATGACTCTGAGGGTAGCAATGCCATGGAGAGCTGCAGCAGAATTAAGTAGCTGTCAAATGAACCCATTCGAACAGTTTGTTAACATTTATGTGAGAGCATAGTCTTGTTCATCTGTGATAACTTTATTAATTGATTTTAACGTCATTAATAGAAATTTTGTCACATTGATTAAACATTTAGAATGCTAAAGCTGCGGTTGGTGATTCTAGTTTAAAGAAAACTTTGGCCATGTGATCCTCCTTGATAGATTCTGCATGTTCATCTCTACTTTTGTTTTTAGTTTTCAAAGTTGATACATAGCTATGAAAAGCTACAGTCTTACCAGTTAAAACAAAAAAAGCTCGAAAGTAGAGAAAAATGTGAGGAAAATCTGGAGACATCATCTAACCCAAGGAATTTATACGTGAAACTGGAGGTAAGAATAGTTGTCATTATATTTTAATTTTAATCGGCTTCTAGAACTAATCTTTGATTTAAAATTGTAAGCTTTATTTTGCTCATAGTTCTGTGAAAATTATATCATTGTCTTGCTTTGGTGAGAATGGTTCTTAGTTTTAGTATTATTTAATAGCAAAATTTTTGTAAATGTAACTATAAATAGATTTTACTTTTTTCCTGATGAATAGATGTGTACTGGATAACACAGTCTCTTTTGAGGCATGAGAGGTTGTACATGTACAGGATACTGTCACATAATACCTATCATTAATTCAAGTTTTATAGACCTCAGGACAACCTTGAGCACATTGGGCTACACAGAAAAAAGTTTTTTGGATTGGAAAACTGCTTGTTAAACCTCTATCCTGTCAGTACCCATATGCCTGTAGCAATCCATGACCTTGACCTCAGTGCCTAATTTCCCTAGGCAATGTATGAGGAAGGATGAGGCACTTAAAAAAACATTCTGCAGAATCCAGCATACTGGCTGGGGGACTAGATAATAGATGCTGAGGACAGGATTCAGTCATACTCCCTATCCCTTTGGACATAGTCTGGATTTTAGTGGACTTATTCTTGAATACAGGAAGACACTGATTTTTGTTCCTAATTCCCAGTCTTGACTTTTCAGAGGTTACTTTATGATCTGTGGAATAATATGATAATAATATGTGGAATAATATGATCTGTGGTATTTATTGGACCAGCAGGAAAGTCAGGCAAGATAGAGAGCTTGTAGAGAGTGTGCCCACAAGTGGTGTCTTCTCTCCAAATGGCTCTGGCTGCATTCACTGGGGCAGAAACTGATATCCAGTATTATTTTCTCTAACTGAGCAATATCATCTCTAGGTATGCTAATTTTTGCTGCTTTTTTTTTATCTGATAAATTTCCTGATATCCTGAGCTAAATGAAACAACTTCAAAAGGGAGAATTTTGGAGCCTGCTGAAAAATAACATTTGTCTGTTAGGTAGAAAACTAACATGGGAAGATTATACTTCAGGTTCTCTCTTGAAAGATTTTTACACCAAGCCCTCCACTTATGGGAAGAACAGTCTAAGCAGTAATCTGATGAAGCATAGGATGATCACAAAGTCCATGTTTTCTCTGTCCATCCTTTGTGAAGAGCATAATAAAGTAGTGTGTGCTCCACGTGCTTACTGGGCTGGGTGCTGTAGGCAAAGCAAGGGGAGTGGAACCAGTTGATTTGGGAGCTGCTTGCCCAAATCTAAGCATGGGGAGGACTTACATGTTTATGATGTAGATTTATGAGGTACATGATTTGGACACTTTGAGGACTTTGCAATCAAGAAATTCAGCACTAGTAGATTTTAAGTAATCTCCTACTTTTAACCCAAATTAAGCAGGGTCTTAGGATCTCTATTTTGGACTTGCCTTTTACGTTATTCTGTAAGATATAGGACTAACTTCTGTGACCTCCAGGTTCCTGTATCCACATAGACACATCCCAACTCTATCTGTGTTGAGATGTGTCTGTCTGATGGTGGCTGATGTTGGCTGTCTGATGTTGGCTTCTCCTCCACATGGAAGTTCTCACCATCAGAAAAGCTACGATTCTTTGGACTGCAGCATAGCTGCCAACATCAGCTACTACAAGAATAATAAATGGGTTGTGCATCTATCATTGATATATCACTGCTGTCAGCTAATTTGAGAATAACCTTACTCAAGATTAAAATGTGAAAATAATATAAGACAATGCTATAATTTGATTAATTATGCAGTATGAAAAATGGGTGCTTGGAATATATTCAGCAAATTCGAGTATTCAGGAAATAATTACTGTGGTGAAAATCTACTAAGCTCAGCAGTGCTTTAGTAAGGCCTTGAACCTACAGTCCTTATTAAGTAGTCTGAAACTCCATTTGAATCATGTTTTATAAAATAGGGAGATGTTTATTGTTATAAATGCCAAAGCAGATATCAGGAAAGCTGTGAAAGAAGATTTGTATTAACATGTGTTGAAAAATAGTCAGGTTTTCTTCAGTAGCAAAAAAAAATCCTTATTGTTTTAAATTTGGGGAATATGCCAGTTTAGCTTAATTAGAAAATATCACCTGTCTTTTTGAAACAACATTTCCATTAGTTTTCCACATATAAATCCGTGTACTGTTATTTTGCTGAATTTTCAAACTAAAAGAGCAACGGTTGTAGTAACTGAAATTTTGCTTATTTTAAGGGTACTGACTTTAAAATATATTTGTGAACATACAAGGTTTGGCATGAGTTTAAAGCATATTCAGATACACTATAAATGTAAATGTAAGTGAAAATACAAAACCAGTATTAGATAAATCTAATGTAATAGAATTTCTTAAACAGCTTTTTGTTTAAACCAGATGAGCTCAGAACCTGAAGCAGCAATTTTAAAGAGAGCAAGAAGTAACATTTATTCAATGTAGCTGCTGTCCCATTAAAAACCAAGGTGAAAAGTGAGCACTTTGTGTCTGAATATTAAGGGTTTGATTCCCTGCTGATTACCCTGCTCAACACTGATACAGCTTTAAACTCACAGGAACTACCATCCAATAAAATTTGTGTATCATAGTAATAACTCTATTCTATTGTTTTTATTCAATTATTATGTTTACACTCATTGTTCTCAGATCAGTAGCCCTTAAGACTGGTCTTTCTCTGGTGGGGGTGACTGGATGGCTGGTTTATAGAATTGTTCTTTTCTTAACTTTATTTCCAAAATTATGGAAAGATTATGTGTTAATTTAAAAACTAGGTATTTTTTAGAACAATACAATTTGCAAAATTCTTTATATTGAGGAAAATAGATATTTCCTCTATGTTTCCTAGGCTTGTTTTGCTGTCTTTCAGGGATTTAAGGCAAAATCACAAGAATGGGAGAAGAACGGGACAACCTGTGTAAATAGCCCTGTTTATGGAGATATGCAACAAAAATTATTGCCTGAGAAATGTAATTTATTTCAGGTAAAATTCCTACCTTCCTGCTCGAAGAAAAAAATTAACTCTTTGCTCAGCTAGAGCTTACTTTAACTTAATTTTTAAAAACTAAGATTACAATGAATCTTACAATGCATGTGTGTATTGGTAGTGAATATATGGTAAGGCAGAACCATACTGGAACATCTAATGATACATGCACTTATTTTAATTTAGTTTCTCTCATGAAAGTGAGAAAACAAATAAAGGTCATGATGGAAATGTTAATATTTCTAAAAAAACCCCACAAACAATGACAAAAACCACTGACTGTTCCTTTTTGCTTTTTAAGCATATTATAGATACACTTTTCCATGTTATTTGCTAATATGCAATTAATTTGACAAGTTATTAAAAAGTATCTTACCAAGTAAATAGTGCATACCATTGAGGTATTGACGCAAGTATAAAGTTCCTTCAAATCTGATAGCCTTCTTTTTTTGAAGATCATAAATATACAGTAGCATCAGTTATGCAGAAAAATGAATTTTCATATGCTATTCCAGAATCACTCTTGGAGTTGTTCGTTGGATCACTTAGCCCCCTTTTTTCATATTTTTCAGCCTTTTGGTTACTATGCAGTTCCTTGCTTGACTTAATAATTATTTTTTACTTGCCAATTTGCTTATTGCTTTTTTTATAGATAACTATTGATACTACATATTTTTTTTTTAATTCCTTCTAATCCAGAAAAAAAAATGCTATTTAATGCTATCATGGTGACATATCCTTCTCTTAAAAAAACTCAGAAAATAACTTACAAATTTACTGCACCACAGGACAGCTTGAAGATTAAGTAAAGGGAAGCCAATTATGTTGCTCACTGGTAATTCCCTTTTCCACTGTTACTAAGCTCATTGGATCTTAATCTAGTGAAACACTTTCTTAACAATTCCTGTGAGACTCTTTACACATATCCAGAGTTTCCAAGGATGACAGTTATGTTTTGGGTTTAGCTGCTGAGAGCATTATATTCCAGCAATTGAGCTTTCATGCAAATGTGTTAAAAAAGCAAGTCTTTGACTAGACAAAACTATTGACTGATGACATGTTGATTGTACACTTAGACAATAATAGAGTAGTGAGGGTGATGATTCACATTTTTCTGTTGAAGCTTTCAATTCCATCAGTGAACTTGCTTTGAAGACAATTTCCTTAACAACTGTAACATAACACCAACTATTTTTTAACATCCAAGTCTGATGGACCCATAGCTGTTTCAAAAGTGTTAATTGTTCCTGCATCTTTGCCTGAAATTCGTCTTTCATGAGATCTTTGATTTTCAGTTGCAGTCTTGCAGTGTGATTTTCACAGGATATATTGACACTTGGATATATCAGAATCCATAACTTGGATGTCAAAGGGACCTTAATTTTTTTATCTATAGAAATGAAACTTAACTTGCAAATATTTTTTGGCTTTTTATTTGGTATGCAGACATTGGTCCATTCTGTGTAGGTTCTCAGCCAACACAAATTATGGGGACATAGTCAATAACATCAAAAACTGTCTAAAGTATGACTTTTTGCAATCCTTGTCAGTGAAATATGGTATTTTTAACCCTATTTATTTTCACTTTATATTTTCTTGCCCATCTTGTTCTCTGCACATGATGTATGATTTCCAGGTCATATTTTGTTGTCATTTTTCAAGTAATTCTCAGTCTTCTGAAAGATTAGTGCTGCTTTTTAATCTCCCAGTAGTGGGATTCATGTAAATTTTTTAAACAGCAAAAACAGTTGCCATAGTAATTATGCTTCTTCACAATGCCTGTCGATTCAGAAATAGTGGCAATACCAATTTTCTGAAGTTTTGTGTTTAGGATTTTAATTGGTACGAGAAGCTGCATGGGGTGTAGGACTCTGCCAAATGTACAAATGATTCTTTCCCAAGTTTAAGGATAATGATCTCAAAGAAGTGCAGTTCCTGTAGTAACTGAGCTGTTTGTACATGACCTATGTAATGGTAGCCCTCTCGTCAAAGGTTAATATCTATCCTGAGGCGCACACACACACAGCTCCTACTGAGTTCAATGAATCAAAGAGGAACATTTCTCTCAAATTATTTCTCACAGGTAACTGCTTTGAGTAGGTCATCACAATCACCTTTTTCACATTTGAGGCTCATTAACATTAAGTATTAGGAAAATACACGGCACAGGAGAAAAAAATCCTTGAAAAACTCCCATGCCCTTGAAGGTTTTTGAAACTTTTTTATTAACTGAGGGCAAGTAATTCAAACTGTTTGAATTGTATCATCTTTTCTAAGCAAATCCAGGTGAAGACAGGAATAGCCTTACGATTTTAGTAGTAACGATTTGGTCTGAGCAATTTACATACAATTAATGAGTTTAATTTAAAATATTTTCTTGTTTTATAGAGGCAGAGCCAGAATTATCAACTCCAAATATGCAATAACAAACAAGACCAAGAAGAGCTAATTACCTATACCCAGCCCAAAAGTGAAAATCATGATTTGATTATTGAAAAGCTAAAGGCAATTGTGAATGAAATAGCAAGAAACAAGAATAAACTGGTAGAGGAAAACATGAAACTCCGTGAGGATCTAAAAATTTACCAAAATCAGTGCCAGGTAGTAGTGTTTTTTTATGATGACTGTGGAATTAATGTTGGAAAATCAAGATGAGATGCCTACATAAATATACATTAGGTGTATTCTGTGCTTGAGCAAAGAATAATCTGGGAGCAGTATGAGTGGAGTTTTTTAGTAAAACAGAAATAAGTTCGAATTGTAGCAGTATATTTTTTCTCTTGTCTGTGTATCTAGGGTTTTATAACTCTCCTATATCCATGGCATCTACTAGAACTTCCCCTAGTTTGGTTCCTTGAATATAAATGACTTCTATAAAATCTCTTTATCTGATTTACACTTTTCTGTTCATTGCGCCATATAACTAGTAAATAAGTATATACAAACATGTATATTTTGTTTGTTTTGAAATGAGATTATGCAGTCAATTTAAAAAAAAATTACATTTCTGGCTATTGTAAATAACCATCAGATTTTATCCCTAGTTCACTGTTTTTCAGCATAGCACTGATCTATGAAGGCAGCCATTTGCTCCTCTTCTTTTGGTCATGGTATATGAGTTTTGACAAGATTGAGATAATACAAGATCTTTACAATCTTTTTATTATCTTTGTTTGAAACACATCAGGAATGAGATTCCTGTTGATTTTTTTTCTAGTGACATATATCAGTTATGCTTTTGCTTATTTATTTAAGCACTTCTAGGTTCAGTAATATACTGAATGGTATATAGTAACTTCAAGTCTTTTTGGAGAAAGATTTGTTTCTGTTTACAGATAGTCTCACAGAGTGCTAACAGCATATGCAATATACTTTATAGGAATTAGCATATATGTGGCAGAGGTTAATTTCAGATTGTGTTGTTCAGAAGAGCCAAGTTTATACATGCCATTTGCACATGAGTTCATTGAGTCTTTTGCCTGTGCACAACTTATCAGTGTGCAAGCAAAACTTCTGTTTTGGGGCCTGTAACAAAGGCTGCCATCAAGGCTGCCATCAGTGGGACTAGAATATGCAGTGGAACAAATCATGGCAGTCGGAGTAAGTGGATACAAGCTGTATGGTGGAGAGATTGTCCCATCACCTTGGAGAAAATCTTCAAGCAGGAGGAATTTTGGAATCATGTGTTCAAGAGAGTTCAGGAGCTGTAGGAAGCTTGAAAACACTTTAAGTAGAAGTGGAGCTGGATGTACATAACAGTGTCATCTGAAGGGCAGAAAGTTGCAGAATAACTGTGTTGGTGGTGTGGAATGCTGTTATGTTAGTTAGAAAAGCTGCATTTGGAAATAGCTGCATAAGGGAAACACTGATGTCAATGTTTGATGAAAAGGAGTAGCTCAGGGAAAATATTTTTTAGGAATGCCTGTATGAGAAAGAAGAAATTACAAGGCCCGTTGTCAGCCAGAAAAAGTAAGCGGGTTTATGTGAAGGAGAATTAGGTGGAGGATGGCAATTGTTGGATATGATACAGGTAGCAGAGGAAGGAGTAGATGGAAATATTGGTCTGGAGAACTCTGATGGCAATGAAAGCAAGAAACATTGAGCCTCATATATTCCTTTATGCCTATGATCATTTCAGTGTGCTTCTAATTGTTTCACTTGTACTATTAATTAGCAAATAATAAAGTGAAATGTATGGAAGAGCAGTTTGTTGACTTTACAGAAAACGCAAAGTTTAAAAGATCTAAATGGAGACTGCAGTCTGTTTCTCTACCCTGTGAATTATCTGAAAAACTTATCTGCAGGCATAACATGAGAGGTAACCTGAAAATGTCACACAAGGGTCTTGGTTCTTGAAAAGTCAGCATTAAGTCAGCTTCTGGATACTAATTTATGTAAAAATACACCATATAATTATATTTCAAAGGTTGAATAGTGTATTGGGTTTGGTAATGGGGGCACTCCAGGGATGGCCTCTGTGAGAAGGTACTAGAAGCTTCCCCCATGTCTGACAGAGCACTGGAGGGGATGAGGTAGAGAACTGAGGAGTGAAGGTGAGCCTGGGAAGAAAGGAGACATGAGGAGAAGGTGTTCTAAGATTTAGTTTTTATTTCTCATTAACCCGGTCTAATTTGATTAGGAATAAGTTAATTTCTCTGAGGTGAGTCTGTTCTCCCTTGGCAGTGACTGGTGAGTGATCTCTCCCTGTCATTCTCTCCAGAAACAAACAAAGAGCATTTCTCTTGCTTCTCTGCCCTGTCCTGCTGGGAAAGGCAGTGACAGTGTGGCTGTGGTGGGTACCTGGCATCCAGTCAGGGTCAGCCCACCACAAACAGCTTTGAGAAGAATCAGAACAAGAGCTGATCAGGAAATTTTTGGGACTTTGTTTTGATTGGCAAGCTAGTAGAAGCAAAACTTTTCACAGAAGGAAAGAAAAGATTTAATTATTTTTTCAACTTGAAATAGACTCACTATATGAGATATTTTCTAAACAAATACTAAAGTTTTCTGCTTCAAAATCAATTTTAATTTTAACCAGATGCAGTAGATGTTTTCTAAAATAATAAGTGATGCATATTTAATTTTTTTAACTGATATTTGAAACTGTGAAACTCTTGACCTGAAGTTCTGTTTCAATTATTATTGCAGCTGCTCCTGTGACTACTGTTGTTCCTGCTACTATTTTAATTCACAGGAAAATAAAATTTATGTAAATATGTGTGCTGACTGCAGTCTGTCACAGAAAATATGACTTCTGCCACACAATTGTGTGGAATTCATTTCCCTTATCCACCCTAGAATGAAGTCAGATGGGTAACCATCTCCCAAGTTCATGTGTTATAAAGCAATTGTGGCTGTTTCTTGAATGTTGGAGTCATGAAGAGAATAAGCAAGTCTTACCAACAACTTTAACAGTTTATTAAGCTTTATTTCACTTGAATATACCCAGAATTGCATTTTGGTGTTTCAAAAAGCGCTCTTGGTCTTAATGTAACAAAGGATACGATTAATGAGTCCATATATGCAGCCCTCCCAAAAAAAAAAAAAAACCTCAAAGAAATGCAAAAGCACTTCAATATCTGTCTTCAGCAGCCCTTTCAGCCTGAGGAAGACCACTGACTTCTTGGGAGGAGGGTCATTCTCATAGGAGCCTCTAGGGGAAATAAACCTTTGAAGTTCCTCCTTGCAGTGCAGTTCCTGGAATCCACTTCTCTTTTGAAATTTTAAAGGCTTTATTTTTGCTCTTAAAGATGGAAGCTATGTTGAAATAAAATGAAGAAATTATGAAAAATGTGAATGTTTTTAGTGTAATAGTTTGAAAGGTAAAGGATCAGTATCCTTAGAATAATTTTTTTTTTTTTTATCTGAAACATGCTTTAGAATCTTAGGTGAGAAGCAATACATATTCTCCGGATATTACTATTGCAAGCACTGATTGTTATTGTTACTTTTGTTATTTGTGGGTTATATTTCCAATTTCTTATACTTAGTATGTTTTCAGTATATTTTTGTGAAATTCTGGTATTTTTTGGAATTCATGTTTTATCATGCCTTCAGGTGTCTAACATGTGTCTTCAGGTTGTCTAACACACGATCAATCAGAAATAAAAGATAAAACAGAATAAGGTTTGTCAAGTCCCTAAGAAAAATCTTTTTTTTGATTGTTTGAAAATTTTGTGATGTTCATTTAAATAAGCAATTAACTCCATGCAGATGGAGCTAGTTTTTAAGAAGATTTGTGCAGCCTTGTAGTTTCTAAAGTTTATAAATTTGGAAATGAAGAATGGAAGCCACTTATAGGACCAATTCTGGCATGTGAAACATGTTCCAGGATGCAGAACCTGCTAAAACAACCAAGCTATATATTTTTGATGCATTTAGTACAATAAATAACTTCTGAATTATGTTTCCGATGATAATTTTAGAAGCAGATTCATTGGAACATTGCAGGGGCTAAAGAATATTCAGAATCTGATTTTTAGATGAGAGGAACTGACATGGAAGCAATATGTTTTTCTGAAATTAATATCATGTATGTACAGGTATTGAATATGATGTATTAAAAACCAGCATTTTAAGCTGTCTAATTTAATTTAATTTAACTGTTTGTGTGTTTGCTTGTTTCTTTAGAACATGGAGGCAGACATCTCAGACATGAGAAATGAGCTTCACTCAAGGGATGGTCTCTGGAGAAGGATACAACTGGAATGCCAAAAGCTGTATACAGAATTATTGAAAATCAAAGAGTATAAAGATATACAGGAAATTCAAATAAAGTATGGAGGGTGAAGACCTATTTAAATTAACAAGTAGTTCTGAGCTAATGACTTTTTTCCTACATTTGTTTTAAATTAAGTCTCTTTGAAAAGATACTCTGTATTCAGATGTCAGCTTCTGAATTTTAAACTGGATGTTTTCATTGACAATTATATCAGACAATTTCAGGCAATAGAAATTCATTGACAATTATAACAGACAATTTCAGGCAGATGCAGGCTCTGTTAAAAAGATTTAATGATACCTAGATTTTTACAAATCAATGCATTTCAGATATTTCTACCTATATTTTTACAGTCTTTCGTTTTCCCAGCATTACAGATATTTCTACCTATATTTTTACAGTCTTTCGTTTTCTCAGCATTAAAACACTTGGAAACAATGCAGTTGAGATCTCCCTAACTTCCTTTTAATAAAATCATAATGGTTTTATGGCTTATCTAATCTGCTGTAGCCATTTCAAATTATATGAAATACCAGTCTGTAAGAGTTTTCAGGAGTCTTTCTGCACGTAGTTGTATTGTCCTTGATTCCTAGACATCTCCCAAAATCCAGCCTGGTGTAGGCCAAATGTTGGTTATGTTTGGGGGTATTTTTTTCATCAGCAAGCAGATGTTCTACAGTTTTACACTGTGGAGAGGATACTACAAGGTGAAGAGTATTGAATGTTCTGGTTGTTTCATGTTTTGTGTATTTCTTACTTAAAGGCATCAATCATCTCATGTTCAGCTTACTGAGCAACTAGAAAATAAAAACCCTGAGTTATTGCTATTTGCAGAAAGTCACGAATGCCAAGAAGAAGAGCTGAACAAGGTATTTCATATAATTTCCAGATCTTAACTGCAGTATAGGATTTTTAGGAGGGGGTACTGAGCTAGGGTACGTGCATGTACTGTAGAGAGCAGGAGGATGCATTGTTGGTACTGGAGAGCTTGAAGTTTTTCATATGAAAAAGATTTCATATATGGTTGCATTTAGTTGTGTAGCTGTGAAACTGACATTCTGCTTCTGTGCCTAGCTACTCCATTGAAATAATGGGAGAGACCATGCCTACACATTATTGTGGTTCAGATAACATGCAACTAAGAAAGCCTCCAAAGCTCCGATTAATTGGTGACCTGTAGAGCTAAGCTGTAATTTGTAGGTGGTCTCAGAGGTGGGATATGCAAACAGATCAGCTGATACAAGTCGCTGTGGCAGGTGCTCACACAGGGCTGAGCTAACCCAGGTACCTGCTGCACAGTGTAGGGCAGAGCTCTCTCCTTGGAGCTGTGCATCACATTGCATTGCACGTTTCAGAGGGGCTGTGAGCGAGCAGCAGTGGCATGGCACTGTGGAGCAGGGTTTGGCTTGGCAGGCTGAAATACTTTGGAAGTAGAGGATGCTCAGAACTCATCCTACAAAACAACAAGCATGTTGTGGTTTTGCCAAGTAGCAAAATCACAGAATTGTTAGATTGGAAGGGTCCAATCACTCTGCCACCTATAGCAAATTACAGGAATGCTTACCAAGTGGGTTTAGAATGTCACTGTTTGGATGCATCTGACTTGGGTTCATCAGTTTTGGCATGACAGTCATGATCTAGCTCTTAGGTTTTTTGCATCTTTATCTATTTTTTTTTTAATTCTAATATTTCTGTGCTGTTTGCATAAATAAAATCGGAATGCAATCTGTTACTCATTGTGTATAGTACTGCAAAAAGTTGGTAAAATGTTTTCAAAGGTTGCTGTGCTGGGTTTTGTTGTTCTGTTTCTTATACAATAAAAAAACCTGTCAGTACTAAATTGTTGGTTATAGTAGAAAGATTAGGAAAACAATTTTTGTGTTGATACTTTGCAGAACTCTGCACAGGAAGTATTGAAGAAAGTTTCACCCTAAATTTTTATGTATAATGGCAGGAAAAATTCTCATAAAATGATTTTCCATCTATCCCCTTTATTTCTAACATAGTTTCTTATTAAAGACCCTCTAGATTGATTGATTTATGTTGCTTCTAAGTTAATTTAAGCTTCATCAAACTTTTTCAAAACTTAAGTGCATTATAACTAAATCAGACTTAAATTTATTGAATGGATATTTTCCTGGGTATTCTTTACCATGAATTCTAATTCTATACATGATTTTTATTACTTTCTTTTAAAAGGTTAACTGAAGTGTATTGTACTTTGTTCATTTCTAATATTAAATAGCAAATTAATGTACAAGAGAAGTGAGAAAATATGTAAAATAAACAAAGCTCTGGGCACTGACTTCCAAAGACATTTTATTTTACAATTTCAGAATCTCTTGTTCAGTTAGAAGAGTTGGTGTCTTGGAAGCAACAGCAGAAAAAGTCACTGATAAGTAGCAAATGATGCAATCGTATTTACTGCACAGCATTTTTTCTTTTTGAAATGTATTTTCTACAGATAAGAAGCCATGTTTATCGAGAGGAGCAGTCCCATTGCTCTGAGCAGGAAAGAATGAAGACAGAAATCTCTGACCTGACAGAGGAGCTTCATCAGAAGGAGATCACTATAGCAACTATCATGGAGAAAGCTACTCTTCTGGAAAGACAGTTAAAAATGGAATTAGAGACAAAACACAAATTGTTAACAAAACAGCAGGTATGCAAGTAGGCAAAAGCAGCCCACATCATTTTACTCCACTATTGATAATGACATTTATTATCTGTGGAAAAAAAGACATCCCATTTCTTGCTGTAGTTTTTATCAGTGGTGCTGTAATATCTGTGAAGTATTACAAAAGCAGCCAAATTGATGCTGGAACAAGAAATCACCAGTAAATGTCAACTATACCTCCAAATAGAAATTCATTCTGACCATCATATCTAGTTGTCATTTTAACATGCAAAAGATCTTGAAAACTTCCAGTTTGTTGTTATTACATATGCTTTTAAGTTTCTAGTTTTTCAGTGTTTTCCAAAGCTTTTTGAAGAATGGTACAAATCTGCATAGAAAATTCTAGTAATTTTATAGCTGGAAACTGTAAGATACTAGTGGGGATTTCAATGAAAAATTTTTGTTTTAAAAAAAATTGTCAGCTTCATTACTTAGTTTATAAAACAAAAGAATCATCAGTATTAGAGGTTTCTGGGTATCTCTGTGTTTTCTGAGAGGGTCACTACATGTGGAAAACTGTGATTGAAGTAATACTTTTGACAATAGTAAAGTTAGTGTTTGGAGAAAATGAGAGATATCTCCTCTTGTGTGGCACTCTTTACCAGATATTTCTGTATCAATAAAAGAATAGATATGATTCCTAGATGTCGTGAATAGGATTTCATCTAGTTTCAATGGCCTGTAAAATCTGTCCTCTTTCTATGTAGTAACTGCATGTGAGCTTGTTTTGCTAAGTCATTACTTCTTTCAAAAAGGTAAATAAATTCAGAGGTATTGTATTCTTTTATAGATGGTTTAATACTTCTTCCTACTTTGATATTGTTAGATTTGAAAATATTATAGTAAGTTTTGTAGTTACTAATGCACATTTTGTAAAATTAAGCTTAAATATATCTATACTCAGTGTTATTTCAGTTGAGAGTAATATTCTTGTATTTAACTAAGATCTTAATCTTTTCCTAGTTGTTGGAATTCCATTACCAAGTTATCAAATCTGAAAACACACATCTAAAAGAAATGATGGAAAACCAGGAATGTGAAAGTTGCATGGTAAATTTTTATAATCTCTGAAGTATGTGGAACAGTTGCTTATATTTATTGTAAATGCAGATTAAGATCATGGCAGATTTAGAGATTTCTGGCTTGCATACATTAAATAAAAAAAATAAATATCAGGTATGCAACATAATCAAAACCAGGTGGTATTCACACACAGGCTGAAGATGAGTATAGCTAGGAGTAATTTTTACCTTAATTGTATTAAACTACAAGTAAGTTAAATTTTTCAGTAATTGTCTAGACATTAAACAATTTCCGGGAGCTTCTTTTTTTTGTAAGTGATACCACTTATTTAAGTTTAAACAGTCATCATTCTCACAGACAAAAATATGCCCCTTTTTTAATATCTTACCCCTTTGTTCACATGGTATTTAAATAGCAGTGTAAAAAACTGACACATTTTGCTCCCACCCAGCTTATTTTCAGAGTCTAGTATTTATATCTCTCCAAACAGCAGGGCTTTAAAATTTAATTGATAAAAAGTGTGCCATAAGATTATCTAGAACTATGGTTTGTGAAGGTATAATAAAGAGTATATAGGCAGTTTTCCACAAAAAGCTTCAGAAGATCCCCTTCTTACAGAACATCTGCAGTTACTGTATCACTAAAAAAAATCCCACTGGAATGTTGTTTGGAAATACTGATATAAATACATTTGGGGGGGATTTGTAGCCTGTGAATTGTCATGAAAGAATGTTACATTTACCCACACCCTTAAAACAGCATGGATGTCCATCAGTGATGTCTTACCTACACATACATACACACTATTATGGGTATCTGTGTGTGTATATTTGATTTATTATTGTGGAAGCACAGATGGATGTGTGTGTGTGCATGTCTAACTCTTGTCTGCAGTGACACTTTTCTTGAAGATTGAGAAGAGCTGTCTGACAAGGGTCCTTGGAGACATCACATGTTTGTTATATTTTAACAGTAAAATCAAGTTACTACGCATACCAAGGCCAATACATGTTTCAGTAGATTTGTGGACTTAAAAATTCTTTGCTGCTTTACTAATGTACTGTGAGGATCTAAATGTTAGATTGTGGTGTATTTGATATTAAGATTCCAGGGATTGGAGAGATTTTTATGGACATGTTTGTGCTGTACAGTGCAGCACTACACAGACCTCTCAGACCAGTGCCAGCCTAAGTCAGTATGGTGTAATGCATCATCAGGCAGAGTTACTGTCAGGGTTGAGATGTCAAAAGCAATGTAGCTGGGCCAGCTCAGTTTTGGGTTTCATGCCATTATAACTTTACTGCTGATTCTAGAGCTATTAGTGGTGGGATGACTTAGTGCTCTCCTTCTCCCTCGGTTCTGCCACTCCTCCCACTTGTGAGACATAGCTGAACCCCTGCTCCCCCATAGTTGCACAAAATATTAAATTTTATTATACCTTCTGGCATTTCCATGCCAGCTTGGCTCATAAATTCACCCTAAAACTGAGGAAGGCAAGGCTCACAGGAAGAGATGGCATCAAATCAGTGCAAGGAATAGACAAGCTTTCAAATGCAGGAACACAGTTGTGCCAGCAGTGTACAAAGAACCAAATCTGTGAAGAGTTACTGAGTTCCCAGAGAATAAGGTAGATCTAGGAATATATGAAAGCACAAGTTAATGAAATGCGAGGGGTTTTAGTCTTTTGTATGTAATCTGATAAACCGTTTGAAAATTTCCTGGTGATGACAGCATACTGTTATTGCAAATATATTACACAATGCAGTGCAGTACTCTGCAGAGAGATAGTTCCAAAATAGCTGGCTCAGGCGTGCAGCACAGGCTTTGTGGATTAAGTGATAGGAAAAAAGGAACAGAGTAGCCTGGCTAGACAACTTCCAGAGCTAATCTCCATCTTCCCTTCTTGATATCCTGGTGGATGGGGGTCTTCAGCCCCTGATCACAATGCACCTGTGGCTTGCACTTTCAGTATTCTGCCTTGCACACCGTGTGGACTAACCCAGCTGGGCAGCCGGGTTTAGTGACAAGGACAGAGAGCACTGGGCTGATGTGGCTTTACTCACTGCTTCTGAAACTGAAGGTGACTGTCTCAACACACATATTAAATTGTGCCTGTACACATACTCTGTGTCTAGTGTAGTAATGAACTCCTATAATTTTGCTTGTTATTTTTGGAGGAATTGTTACTGGAGGGAGCAGTAGAGTCTGCAGCTATAGCTGTTAATGTCATCAGTTTTACAAAGCTAGTGATAAATTTACAACAATAATATTTTGAATGCATGTTTGCTGAGAAATTTTAATTTGTTTTATTGTGTTGTAGAGGCTGTTATCCCTTCTTTTCTGTTTATCTACTGTGATTTTTTTTTTCTGGAGGCAATTCTCTTGGTTTGCCCTAAATGTTGCATGATTATATATGGTAGCTAGGTCTTTTCTTTAGCATAGAACATTGTTTTGTGTTTGCTTGTTAAAAATATACCCATTTACTGTGGAAAAAATAACTACTTAATGATGGTATTATCTCCTTTCACAGTGTATAGATTTATGTAACAAAGAACATGGAAATTTCACAGCTTCTGTTCACAAAATGAAGCATGAGAATTTAAGACTACAAAATAGCCTTGTTAAACCACAAAATGACACAGGAACATCTATACTGAGTTGCATGGATGCATGCAGAGAAACAGAGCACAGCTGCCAAACCCATTCAAAGATGCAAGAAAAGGAAGAGAGGTAATATTTAGATTGTACACATTTATGAAACTTCTTGTAAGTGTTTTGGAAGGTCTGACTGGGCCAAACTGTCAAGTTTTTTGCTGTTTCTGTTCATTGAGAACTCCCACCAACATAACTATCAGATCTAGTTAGTATGTTTGTAAGGGCTTCCTGCATTTTTCTGCATGGCTAATGGAAATTGGCAGTAAATGAAGTCCCAGAAATGTTTAATATCTGTTTTAGTATTTATCACATGAAACTTTAAAACTTTTTATGTGCTGCTCAAGCTATTCTCAGTTCCAGGTTTTGCAAGATGGAACAAACTGTATTTTTTACTACCAAATAAACACAAGACAAGGAAAGGCTAGAAAAATCAACATGAGCGTAAACTTCTCGACAGGAGGTTTTCTTAATAAGCAGTTTGAACTATAGGCCCTGCTGAAAAGCTTTGTGTCCTCCAGTTTCATTTGTTGGAGGTTTCATTAAATGGATTTTAATGCCTTGTCTGGTTTCAGTGTTCTTGGGTGACCTGATTTTGAACTGAAACGTAATTTCAGATGCTCTGAGTAAGTCATTACTACAATAAACTCCTTGTTAGGGAAAAATAATGAGAATATTCAGACTCATAGAAAGCATTGTAGTGATGACTTCTTCTTATTTACCTGTATTCAGTGAGCTAATGAATTACCTTCAAACATATTATAATCATGCCATTGCAATTAAAAAAAAAAAAAAAAAAAAAAACAACACCCTGCTAAACAATATTTCACAGTACAGGAAAATAAAATTAATAGGAAGCTAAATATACTGATTATTTGTAATAAAGAACTGACCTGATAGCACTAACATGAAATAGTTCTGTGAAGTAAAGCTGAAATAGTTGGAGCCAAAATTGAACATGTTAAGATTTCAAACTCAAACATTTAGGTTTTGGCAAAATTTAAAAATATTTTCTTTCTGCAAAATAGAGCAGCATCCCAGTAAATGTAGCTCCATAGCCTAAAATTTCTTTTTAAAGAGTGTTGTTTTGTGTTGGAGATAGCATTCATGTGTATATAAAAATAAATAGATATATGTATATATATATGCATATACAGAATGCATGAATATATATACATACAGATACAGCCATCTTTGGAAGTGGCAGGTATGGCTGATTTCCTATGAAGTTGGAAATTATGTTGAAGATGTTGGTGAAACAAATACTTGTAAATCAAGATACAGATTATTCTGCATCAGTAGGTCTCATAACTGAACTAAATTGGTCAGTGCCATTTTTGCTCATGCTTCAACTCCTCTAAAGTGAGGAAAAAATAAGAATTTTTTTCTCCCTATCTTCTCAGGATTTACACTTGCTGTACATAAGAGACCGTGAAATTTAATTTATGAGAACATAAATATTTGATACAATAGAATTATGCATGTAATTTGCAGGACTGTGATTTCATAGCTGTTGGAAGATCAATCAAAACTGTGAGAGAGACACCTGTGAGATTTGACCTTTCTCACAACAGAAATTGCAGCCAGACTACTGAACACAATATAAATTATTATTATTATTGTAGCTAATATCATGAAACAGATATATTGAGCCTAGATTTCAGGATCTAAACCATTCATTATAATTCCTAAATGTAAAGCTATTCAGATAAATAAATACACAGATTTTAAAACGTGCAAATTTGACATGTACTGTGCAGCCAGTGTTTTTATGATTGGGCCCTCTCTGTACTATAAGTTCTCGGTTCCCAAGCAGGAAACTACCTCAGAAAACTAAATTTTTTCCAGAAAACTAAAATTAAATTTTCAATCAGATGTATGCAGATAAACTAGGAAGTTGATGTTGGTTAAGTTAAAATCTGGGATATGTTTATTTTATTCTGAGCATAAACCCTGTTATTTCTGGTTTAATTTGCAGTTCTGTTTCCATGGTAATTATGGCACTGGAGAAAGGGCACAAAATACTTTTTTTATATGATAAAAAATTAGAAAACATGGTGTTTGTGCAAGGGGCAGGTGTGTATTCTACAATAATTTTCAGTTGTGTCTCAGTCAGTAGTGGAATCCTGGGTACGGGCACCATCGTGTCTTAGAGAGGAGACCTCTAGAGAAAACACGGGAAATTGCAGGAAGTTATACTGGCAATCCAAAAAGCAGAATGATTTCTTCTTTCTTTCACTATACAGTAAATTTCTAAAGATTAGAAAGTAAGATATGCAGAAATAGCATCTTTTTGCTAAAAAGGGACTGTGCCCACATGCTACCTATAACCACCTTATTTAATTACTGTTTTCGTATGTAATTATCTTACTTCTAATTGCCATTTACATAAGCTTTCCCCACTCTCAAGACTTCAATCCTTTACTTAGACCCTGACCATATGCAGTTGATTCAAATTTGTGCATGGTCAGAGAAAACTCTCTGATGAAGCTGATATGTTCAGTTTGTTTCTTCCAAAATTAAAACGTACCTGTGAGTTATGAAATGAAAAGCTATTTATTTAGCATAAAAATATGTACAAAAAAAGTAACTGATCAAGCCAAAGTGCACTTCCATCATGTGGGGAAAGTGAAGGGTAAATTCTAAGGCTTAATGCCTGCTAAGATAGCTGGGGATCACTTAATGGATGTGTGTTTACAGTGAGTAACTGTGTTCAGGAGGTTTTTGGAGATCATACAACTCTTAGTCACACCACTGTATCAGTAACTGCAATAGATAAAGTGGAAGCAGTGAACACAAATCTTCAGGAAAAGGCTTTTTATCCATTTTAAAATCAAGCTAGCTGTTATACTTGCCAGGTTAAAGCAACAACACAAATTCTTGAAGACATTCTGGCCATTAAAGATCAGTAGTTTTCTTTCTCAACACTGGTTATGTCAACCAGCAAAGCTGAGTAAGGAATTTGGGGTTTTTTGCATCACTGAATTCATTGACTGCACAGGGACCAGGCAGATTTTATGTATGAGTCAGGAAAAGTAGATCCTGTTTAAATTTCCTTTGTGAGAACACTGCTTGTCCCCTATGTCACCATGTCAACAGTGATATTATTTGTGTGGCATGTGTACATGTTAAATACTCTATGACTAATCCCACCAAAAGCATAAGTTGTTCAGCTGCAGAAATAGTGTATTTGCATTGGTAGTGTTAACAAATGGACAGCTTTTCACAAATGCACAGATTGTATTTAAAGTAGATCTGTGTTCTTAGATATTATTTTGCACATGAACTGGTAGAACTGTAAAAAACTGGAAACCATCCAGAGTAAAGGCCCAGTATCCCTGTGAAATTACCTCAATGTAGGTGTCATGTTTTTCCAAAATACCAAGCAGCCCCAGCAACCTTATGGATTACACTAGGAATGGGAGAATGGGAGTTCCTTTTAAAAAATCAGTCCTTTTTAATTTTTTTACTTTTTTGGGGGGGAAGGGAGGTGTGGTATCTGTTTTGATTATCTAAAGGTTACCATAACCCAAGTCAAGTAGGCACTCAAGTCTGAAAATTCTGTTCTTAGAGGAATTATAACACAACAGTAATAATTTTTATTAAATACATAAAGAAGCAGTTCTGGCAGGAAAAAAAAAACACAGATCACACAGACTTTACTATGGGTTTAGAGAGAAAATTACTTCCAAAAAGGTCAGAACATGAGATTTAAAAAAAAAACCTGTGATTTTATTATTCATGCCATCTATCTTCAGTTATGGCAGGTTTTTTTTCACAGTGCCCTTCATCCACACTATAGATGGAATTGACTTTAAAATACGGAGAAAAATAAAGAAAAAAAGTATTCTCCTGTGCCCAAAGAGCAGAATATATATGTAAAGAAAAGCATGAGAGAAAGGAGAAAACTCTGCATCCACAAAGGTAAACATTTTAGGTGCTTTAGAAATCTGGAAAGTTTGGTGAATAGTCTGAGAGAGTTTTATGTTAGCATGTATTATAATACTATTATTATTAGAGTAAAACTAAAATTATAGTAACAAACAGTAATACAGCATATAATAATGCATATAATTTCCATTGCCATAGCATTCAGATTATCTTAATCACAGCTTCTTTTATAATCAGAGAAAAAAATATTTTCTTGGTTAGTTCTCTGAGCTGTTCTGCACAGTCCCTGTGCTGAATACTCAGTTTCCTGGTTTAGGGCTGTTGTGGTTTAACCTGGCAGGTAAACAGCACACAGTCACTTTCTCATTCCCCCACTCACAAGGAAAGAATTGGAATTTTTAAAAACTGATATTCATATGTTGAAATACAGTTTAATGGGACATAAAAATAAGGTAGTAGTAATAATAAAAATGACAATAATAAAATAATAATAATGCTATAATTAGAATATATGAAACAAGTGATGCCCAGTGATAACAATGCAGTTGCTCACCACCTGTCATGATGCCCAGGCAACCTTCCCCCAGCTTTTTATTGCTGATCCTGCTCCCATATGGTCTGGAATATCCCTGTGGTCAGCTGGGATCAGCTGTCCCAGCCGTGTCCCCTCCCAGCTCCTTGTGCACCCCCATTCTCCCCTCTGGTGGGATGGGATGAGGAGCAGAAGAGGCCTTGGCTCTGTGTAAGCTCTGCTCAGCAGTGACTAAAACATCCCTGTGTTACCAGCACTGTTTCCAGCACAAATCCAAAGCACAGCCCCATACAAACTGCTGTGAAGAAAATCAACTCTGTCCCTGTAAAAACCAGCAGAAGGGCTTCTGTAAAAGCAGGTCCATCAAGGCTCCACAGCCACTCTCTCCCAACACCAAATATTCAAATCAAGACTAGAAAATGATGGTGTGATCTTTCTGCAGAAAACACTGTCTTTTCCCTGCACTTGGCAAGTTCTTTTTATTTAAAAAGAAAAAAAAGTACTGACTAGCACTGCATACTCTTGAATATTTATTAAATTATATTTTAGTGGCAGAGAACATGCTCTTAAAAAGCTTTTATAGCTGCATTTCAGATTACTAGAGTGTTTTAGGATATTTGCAACGATAGAATCTGTTCAAACTGCTATTATGTTTTAATAGTTACCTCCCAAGATTAAAATTTCATCATAAGCATAGACCGATACGATAGAAATTTTTATCTCAGCTAGAAATACTGTAACATAAAATTAATAGAATCTGAAATAAGTTTTTTTGCATGTTTTGGTATGTAATACAAGGAATGATGCCATTGAAAATTAGTGTAATTTTGCAGGCATCTGGGCAAGTGAGTCTCAAAATTGTCTGCTTTTATCAATACAGTATCAAAATTGTTCAGTTAACTATTTTGGGAATGGGAGGAATATGGCTTTCTTTTTTTTTAAGTTGCTACTAACCCTAATAGTTTTTGCTTTACAGAAATACAAATGATTAGAAGTATGTACTTGCACATCAATTCTGATCACTGAGATACAAGAGTTTTTGAAAATCCTAATAATATGCTTTAAAATAATTTTTTAAGCTTTAAGATTTCATTTATTGTTACAAAAGAAAGTTATTGTACAATTTTTCAGAGAGTGCATTTTAAAAATCTAATCATTTTTTTATTAATCTCCAAAGTGTTACCATTAAATCACTGGCAAAATTATCATTGCAGTAAAAATGCAGAATCAAAGATTCTTGTACTATTTTTGTTTAAGTATTTATTCTAAATTCTAGCCACTTGAACATAGTTGTTTAAGTTACTATTAGATCAAAATTGACTAATTATCCAACCACTAATAATAGGTTTTTTCTCTCCTCTTGCACGTTCACATTTTAATTCCTCTATTTGTGTGGCTGAATTCACTCTGGTGCTTGCATAGCCTTTTCCACTGGCAAAAGGAATGGTAGCCATTAGCAAAGGATAGGTAACAAACACTTAAGGAGAACTGGCATCGTCAATACCTGAGGTGAGTTTGTGTTTAAGCTCGTTCTGCCAGAGTTATACCAACCAAGGTAAGGTTCCTCAGCCTAAGCTCCAGTGAAAGGGTTTAAATTAGGGTGGTTTAATTCACAGCTGAAGCAGACACAGAAAGCACACTGAGAGTTTTACAGTAACCTAGGTGGAAATTGCTAAATTGCTGCAATTTGGTAATGCTGAATCTTGTGCCCATGCAACTTCATGCATGAAGCAGTTTGAACAGCTAAGTAATCAAAACTGTGTCAACAAGTAAAATGAAAATTCCTTGGCTTTGCTGTGATAGCTTAAGAGTTTTAACTGGGTTTCATATGTAGATTTTTTTTTCTTTTAGATCCTTTCAAAATAAAGATTCATGGGAAGTGGAATGTCAACAGACTGCTGTGCTCACTGCTGGTGGATACGACAGACACTGCACTCCTGCTTTGTGCGGCCACTGCAATATCACTGGTTCAAAAAGTGATAGCACTTTATTTTCTCATCCACTTCACAGAGGCCATGAAAAGAAAATAGATTCTAAATCTCCCTTACCACCAGTGGGGTATCCTTTGGGCCTTCCTGGGCCATTTCCTGAAGTGGCCAGAACAGGCAGCTTTCAGAGCCCTGCTTACAATGCGGAAGAAATCAAATTATCAGTAAGTAACTATTTTCCCGTAACACATATATTCTCAAAAATCCATCTGTGGACCAAATGCAGCCTTGGAGAAGCCAGAAATTAGATCACTCTTGTTGTCATTGTTATTTATAGAGTGCCAGCCCAGCAAAAATATAAGTACCTTATCCTAACAGAAATGCTGTTTTTCTGGAGATTAAACATCCCCTACTGAGCCATACCTCTGTTATAATAACAGTGGTGATAATTACCTGCCATTATGTGACTGTGAGAAAGATTTCTACATTTTATTGGCTTCTATATTGGGGCACTTTGCTTTGTATTGCCTGTACAAGAGCACTCTGCTTCAAGTGTATTTCCATAATACCTGCAAACTTATTGCCTTAAGTGCTGCTAGACAAATCAAGTTCCTATTTGATCTACATCTCTGACTGATGGATGAAATCAGAAAAATCATAGCAACTATTTTCCATATGTTAGCTATTGTATTTGAAAAGAAACAAATTATAAGTGCTGTGATCCTTATTTTTCTTTGAGTGAAAGAGGAATAGGACAGCATTCTTTCTTTTTGTCTTCATAGTCTGGAGACTATCACCCTCCATGACAAGTGAGACAAATCCCACTTTGCCTAGGACAACTTAAGAAAATCTTTCCATAATTATTTGGCTTTAGAGCTCCCTTTAAATTTGAGATTTTACCTCTTCATTAGTATTTTCTCTTCTACCTTAGGCCTCCACTACAGGCCACTATTGTTTTGCACTTGACAATTAGCACTTTCCTGACCTCAAGACACAAAAGCATACTATCAGTAAGCAGTGAAACTAGAAATGTCAGTGAGGAATGAGCTACAGGCCTCCATCTGTCCAGCTGTGATGCATGGATCTTTGTAACCAAGAGATTCTCAGCTGCAGGGCTCTGGCTGAAGCTATAGAGGCAGAAGAGGGAAGACTTCAGCATTTATTGGGGGGATTGACAGGCTGTGATACCTGTGGTTGTTGTACCCCGGTTCTGCTGTCCGCTTCAGAAACAAATGCACAGCCTTTGCCATCAGAGATGTGGCTGCTGCAGAACTATCTCCATAGTCCAGAACCTCACTAGTTTTTGGGAGGGGAGGTGTGGTATCTGTTTTTATTATCTAAAGGTTACCATAACCCAAGTCAAGTAGGCACTCAAGTCTGAAAATTCTGTTCTTAGAGGAATTATAACACAACAGTAATAATTTTTATTAAATACATAAAGAAGCAGTTCTGGGGGAAAAAAATGTGATAGGAGGAACTGTAATGATGGTGTGCTTGTGAAGCAGGGATTGCAGGGTGGCCCTTCACTGACCGTGGTCCATCAGCTCTCCAGTAGCCTGAGAACACTGAGAGCCATGTTGTCCCAGGTACTTGACCTCACTTCCATTTTATATTCTTATGTTTCACAGGAACTTGAAGTAAACAGCTTCTGGTTTCTTATAGCTTAAGAGTTTTCCTCTTTAAACTGCTAATCATGAAGAGTCATTTGGACTTTTCCAGATGAGTCTGATATACACCAGTTCTTCTCTTTTCTGTCAGAAGTGTCAGACAAAGACATCAAATCACAAAGCTTCTGTTTCCAGACAGCCTGGAAAAAATGTCCCTTCTGAGACACTTCTGCAAGCTGCAGGGAAACTATTTCCCAGCTGGCACTCAGGCCAGGGTCAATGCCAAGACTTTCCAGCTGGTGTGTGGGCAAACACATAACAAAACTGTTAAGCAAGAGATATTTCTCATGCAGAGTCTAGGTTCAAATCTCTGGCATTGAAGCAGGTACAAGTTCAGACCACTGAAATTAAATGATCACTCAGGCTGACATTGGAAACCACAGCTTTAGTGCAAAAATCATTCAACAGTCTGTTACTCCAGAGTTCTGTGTTCAAAGGCAAAGCTGTTCCAGTGAGGAGAAAGAGGGAGGAGAATGCACAATATGTTAAACCAGAGTTCTTTGACTGAGTTCTGAGGTCTTCAGGGGTGTAGAACACAGGACCCATGTGAAATCTCCAGTATGTTCAAAACTTCTGAAAATCTTACAAGCACTAGTTTTCTGAAGAATATTTGTAGCACAAAGTGAAAACATCCAATTTCCAGGTGATGTCCTGATACCTACCAAAATAACTCTTGGTATTGAGGGAAGAGAGAAAATAGTCTGTAGGGCTTTAGACAGTGACTTATGTCTCTCTCCTGGTAAAGAATCTTCAGACAAAGATTAGTAAATGTTTCACTGCAACCTCTGCCCTTTCACATTCTTACTTAGAGGTGACATGTATAGAAAGAATCATAGAAAGCTCAGCTGGGATTCACTGGAAATTCCCATAACACCAAAAATTCTTGTTTCGAGGGTTTCCAAATCTAGGGAAATACTTTTTCCTCTAAACAGTACTTTAGGGTGTGCTCTCTTCCTGAAATGAACAACTTCAGAAAATAATTGGTTGATCTTTTAGTCAAAAGATCAACCAATAAATTGTTTCTCTTGAGATGATAGACAGTTGTTTGTTCTGGATTTAAGCCTTGGAAATACAAGACAAGCTGTAGTAATTCAAATTTAAATTAGACATTAGGAAATTTTCTAACATTAGTATGGGAATTCGCTTAACAAATAAATTGCAATGAAAAGTTGTGGCAATTCTACCCCTGGACATCATTAGGAATTATTTTGACAGTCTTGATCCTACCCTGAGGCATGCTGTAGTCCATGTCTCTCACTCCTAGGTATTACTATTTCCTAGCTACGCAGGCCCTCTAAAAATCTTCCTATGTCACTCAGCAATTTTCTAGGCATCTCAAATTTAATTTTCATATATGAGCAGAAGCGCGTTTTAGACAGCACCTGCTGCCTAACATGTATTGCGGTGTAGGGTTAGAGGAAACTGCTCCCAAAACATCCCAAATTTAGTCATTGTGAGACTAAAATTAGCCAGACCAATTTCTACTCTTGGTACTACAAAATCTTTCCTGGAAAGTAGAAGCAGCTAAACATGAGAAGACTCTAACACTGGGATTTGACAGCTCATGATTTGACCAGTAAATGCTAAAATATCCCACATGTTAAAGCTTTCTTGCTGCCTTGCTGAAGGTGCATCCAAGAATGCTGGGACAACTCCTGGGGCAAGTGAGAGATTACCTCTAGGCAAATTAATTAGGCAGTTCTGTCTCTCTCTCTTTGAGAGAGCTAATTTCCTGAATGGCTCTTCCCCAGCAATCCAGAATGAATTCTTAACCATTAGTTCTTATTTAAGGAGAAGACATACTTAGCACATATTTCTTCTATAGAAATATGCATCTCTGTCAGGTGCATTCCTTCCTTTCCAGCAAATGATGAGGCAGAAAATGAGTGTTTCTCATTACTGGTGTACACCAAAGAAATATGAGATCAGCTGGCATTGTAGAAATGAAAATATAGAGTCTTCCTTGCCTTATTACCCAGACAAGTTAGATGGAAAGCTTATTATGCACCCATCCCTATCCAGTTTCAGTTAGAAACCCAAAAGACATAAAAGCAGTAATACCTGAGAAAAAAGAATTTCAAAACCAAGAACTATTAATCTTATCTGAGACATGGATTAAAGCCCTTTCTTTGTGGTTTTTCTTCCTCAGAGGCCAAAAGTAAAGACAATAGAGAACAGAATGAAAGAACGGACCAGAGACTTGGAATGCAAAATGCTGCTAACAAGGAATGTTGCCTTTTAGACTTGCTTAGATAAAACCATCTCACAAAGTGCATGAAAAACAATGCATTAGGGACCTATCTAAAATCATAGTCTGTGATGTCTGACCCTCGTGTAAGGAGCTGTGGGGAGCCATGACCTGCTTATTCTAAGTGATAAACATTCTTCTCTCAACTCTGAGGAAATTCAGAAATGTCTCTTTCAGAGTTTACAGTGTATTTCAAGAAGAAACACATCAAAGTACCAGTTGAAGCAAAGGACATTTAACACTTTGGGAAGATGGCTTGATTGCGAGGCCAGTCTGTTTCCAATGACGAGTCAGTAATTCTAAGCATTGTTATCCTGAATCTCTAAGAATCTTTTCTAACTAGATTTAAATTTTCTGGGACTGGCGCCTGTGTAAATCTGCAGTCCACAAGGAAAAGTCTAACATGACATTTTTCTCTAGGTGATGACACCTCTTAAATTTGTATTTCAGATTCAGATTTTCCCAGTTTCTCATGCTTCTCACTGAAAGTGTTTTATTTGCTCAGCATTGAATCAACAATTCCATTTCTGGTATTTAGTAAGGGGAACACATGGTGATTTTTCAGGAAAAGCCTCCAAATTCAATGTATTCTCCATAATACAAAAGCCTTCTTCAAATAATTTAAAATAGTACTAACAATTCTGTCACTGAGTCTTGACATCATGAGGAGATGTATTTGTGACCTAGCCCATGGAGGAATAAATGGCACGTAGCCATGGCATTTAGCATGTCAGGAAAAAATCTTCATAGGGGAGCAGTGATAATTTATGAATGGGAAATTATGCATGTGTTTATGAAGAAAATCAAAGGCAGGTGATGTCCGACCATTTTCTTAAAGTTTAGAGGATTGGTGTTCTTTCTTATTCTTGCTGGTACTAGGATTGAGGTGTTATGGTAAAAAATGATCCAGTACTTTTAAGTTTTTTTATTCATACATGTCAAATTAAGTCACTTTATCTTGCCATCATTTTAAAACATTCATTTGGAGGGATTGAGAAAAGGAAGATTCTGCTTTTTCTGTGAATTTCATTTTAGGAGCCCTATACATCAGGAAGCCTCTCTCACTCAAGAAGGATGGTATTAAACTCTGAATTTATTTCCAGCTATCACTCACTTCTGTACTTTGAAAAGAAAAGGGGTTTAGTATAGGAAATCTCTAAATTTCATCTCAGAGTCTGCTGCAAAGGTTTTCAATGGATTGGTGCTTTAGAGCATTTTTCTAGTTAGTATCTTTTAGCCTTAAAAGCTGCTAAAGAGCAGTTTTCAACAAAGTTGAAGTCCAAAACTGTCTCTAGTTTCTGTGGAAATACAGAATACCCCATTCTGATACAGTGGAGCCTGGAGTAAAAATTTACGGATGTAATATAATTGGCCTTTTCCACAGACCATCTGAATATTTGAATTCCTATTTGATGTGCTAACACATAAACTTCAAACATTTTTAAATTCTAGAAAAAAACCCTGAAATTCTAGATTAATAACTTAATCAGTAACAAAAACTATTTAAGATATTATTTAACTAAGATTAAATATGTCAATAATTTTTCCCAGTTTATGACAATATAAAAATAGAGGATTACCTCTCTTTTTATATTAAAGCCCCTATACTAAGTTTTTTCTGCAGTCAAATCTTAAAAAAATCATGTCATAAAATTGCATTTATCTCTACAAAAAAAAAAACATTGAATGTATTTAAATAGGCATAGTATCGTTCATAAAAGAAAAATTATTTCATATTTCTTTTGATAAAGATATTCCAATGAATGTATCTTAGGTATTAGCAAGAAAATTAACAGAAATTGGTGCTTAAAAATTTAGAACTTGTTCCAGCAAAGATTCACACATATCCTTTGCTTTATAGAACTCTGCATCCCATGACAACCATCTAAAGGCTGATTATTGGTACGGTTTCAGTCTGAGTCTACTAAATGCTCATTAAATGGAAAGAAGATTTTTCAGTGAATTACTTGCAGTGAACAAAAATTTAGTACATTCTCCAGAATGTCAGGGCTTGGAGTTAATAGTACTGAAATGAGCACAAGTTTTCTTCCTTTCCTCAGAAAGCATCATACCACAGAAGCAGAGAGCTAAAATTACAGGAGACAATCAGCAGTATCCAAGATAATTATACTTTGTCATTCCAAAAAAGATTATTATCCTCTGCCCTGGTCTACACTATACAAATAACTAACATAATCTGTAGTTGATAGATTTTGGAGGTTCTGCAGCAGTTTAATTCTGTCTAGTGGGATATTTAAATTTTTAATGGCCAAGCTATATCCTAATGCTATGAATATCAGAGATAATCAAACACAACGTTCAGTCCATGTTATTTAGGCACATGGATGCCTTTAAAAATGTATGCCTTTAAAAATGGTGCTTTCTTGAAGAGGTGTAAAGCATTAGAGTGTTGTTAGCTGCTGTAGGTCAAGGTATTTTTCACATGTAGAATTTGATAAGGCAAACACGTTGTAGCACTTGCTGGTTTTGCCTAACCATGATTTTCTATTCATTGCTCAGTCTCCCCCTGAGATGTCCTTCCTTGCAACAGCAGAAAAGTTCCTTCAAGAGGAAGAGAAACACGCCAGAGAATTTGAAGAACGTTTAAATTCACACCTTGAAGAGCTGCAAAGATATTCTGAAAATACTCTAAAAAAATATGCCAGGATGCAGCAAAGCAGGCGTACTTAAGACAGTCACACAATTAAGAAAAACAAACCAAGTAATCACTCATGAGTTTCTCAGAACTAAAATCTGCAACTAGCTGGTTAATGTATTTAGGCACATTGCCAATAGCATGTATTTGTAACACCAAGTTTTCAAGAAAATCATCATTCTCCTACAGATTTAAGTATATTGTAACTTGAGTATATGACAAAATAAACTCTGAACATATTCTAAATTATACCAGTGGGTTTTGCACAGTTAAATTGTGTGCAGCAGAGACCCTGTTGGAGCACTGTAAATTAAGATACTTTAAATTCTGTAATGTACAGAGGGCTAATAAGTGGAATTATTCCCTTGAAATTAGAATCAACTAAGAGAAATTCTCTGGATTGTACAGAAAAAAAAATAAAGGCCTTTAACCATGTCTCAGCTCCTGGCATGAAAAGCTTATCTATGCTCTGGTGGTTCTTGGCTGCCCTGGGCCTCTGGAAATGCTGCTCTGTGAGAAGAACATTAAAAGACCAAGCACATGTTTTGAAGCCACCCATATTTCCTCTTTTACCAGACCTATGGACTTCACCTGGAGCAGAACCTGATCTCAGGCACTTTCTATTTAGACTTTACAATTTTTAAAACCTGTGTTTAAAAGCACCTATTTTGGATTGAAGCTTTGTTCCCGTGTTGGCTTGTTGTTTAACTGTATTGGAACAGTGAGGAAAAGCTTTAAGTTCACACAACATGTGATCAGTCTTAGGTAAGGCTCTAAATTCTTTGCATTTTCCTACATCATGGGAAAACATTATATAACCAAGCAGAGTTAATTCAACTACATGTGCCGAAAATCTGCATAATATTGAGATTCCTTTTATTTGCAATTCACACTGAATTCTATTGCTGTGCAAGCGAAACAGAAATTACAGACACTGTTGATGAACCACCAATTTCAGTGAATGAGATACTGAAGAACTGCTTTCCACCATATACTGTTGCCAACTTCCTGGGAAAATCTGGATAAAAATAATACCAGGCTGTCAAACTGCTCCAGTTTGTGAGTAAAAGAAGTCTCATTAATATTCAGGACCATGGCTAAAATGTAAATTGTTTTTCGATGCTATATTTCCACTAAGACAAAATACACTACATCATACTTACACAAAATACCAAGATTTTAAATACCAGTTTGGCTCAGCTTGCAGTAAAATGAGCAATGAAGATGAGGACATCAAAGAACCTTTTACAGGAAAATTCAGGAAAATTACTAGACTCAGCTGGAGGAACAAGGACTGAATAAAAAGATGACGGAAGGACATCTGAACAAACTAAATATATACATACCCTCAGCTTAGGGGGAGATGCAGTTTTAAAAGAATTAATGAAGAAATTCAGAAACCTCTGAAAATAAAGCTAAATTTTAAGCTGGGAAGATCTGTATAAGCAAAAAGACAGCAAAATACTGCCTTTCAGAAGAGCAAAATAAATAGCCAGTTAGCCAGAGTCTTTTGCCACTGTCAGATTCAAACATACAAGATGACAGTCTGCTCCAGATCTTTAAAGAAATGTATGTGTCTGCCTCCAGTTCAGGTATGAGGACACCACTCAAGGTATAGATCTGTGACATGATGCAGAATGAGTGAATGAAATCATCAAAAATGGATACAATGGGTTTTTTTCCTAAAGCTTTATAAGATCTACTTAAAAAGGGCATTGCTCAATCCACTAGCAGAAACTTAGATACAGTAGAACTTTTAGTTTAGGGCAGGCTACTAATTTTGGCTAATAAAATACCAGAGTTAGTTTCAGCCTGGCTTTTGTGCAATGCCATATAATGAACTGCTTGTGAGAAACACTGAAAACTGTGAAGTACCTATATCTGAGCAGCCTGTGACTGTTATTGCCTGCTCAGAGAGCACTGTGCCACAAATGTGCTGAGACACGATGGATCAAGGTGCCATTTTTTAAACACCTACTAACCAGAAAGGTTGTCCTTCTCTTTCTCAACCAAACAGCAAAAGTTGCTCATCTGACAATCCCCAGTTTAAATGAGGCCAATCCTACCATAGTATAGCTGGAGCCAGGCCACTGCTTTGAATACCTTAGTTGCATTAAAAGGCAGAAACTCAGCTGAGCAGGTGAGAAGTTTGTGAAGGAAGATACATCTTCCTGATGTTATCACACCATAAGATCTTTTTAAAGAATGATGGACAGCAGAAATAATAAAGACTGAGAAATTACTCATTTATGGACAGGGGTTGGACATGGATGTATATTACTAAAAAAGGAATAGTCAGAAGGGTCCAAGGCTATAAATTCCTCCAAACACCATTAAAAATAAAAATTAAAAAAAGTATTAATCGTTAGCCTCATGTGACAGGACAAGGTGCAATCTTCAGGAGCTGCAAATTGCCCAAAAATACAGAAAATGTCTGTTCTACTTTGTGAATAGCAAGGCAATGGAAAATTTTTGTAAGCTGCTGAACTTTGATGATTTTTCAAAGCTGTACTGAAAAGCAATTTTTTGGCTCCCAGTTGAAAGACTTGTTTTAAATACAAAGAACAATGGTTCAGGCTGTCACCAGCTTTTTTTTTTCCTTTTGGCTGAAGGAAAAACAGAGGTCAAATACATGCAGTTGCCAACATGTTTCATCAAGATGTAATTTTGAAATAGTTGGTGGCATAAGAGCTGCCAGAGCATTGCTGTCCAATTCACTTCCCAAAACTTTCTCAGAGGGGGCTGAAACAGCAGTTACTGAATACTAAATAGCCATTTTAAAGTGGCTCACATGAAAGCTGGAAATTTAGCACATTTTCTTCCATTTCTTACTCTCTCCTTTTATGTATGGGAAATTTAGGAGTATAAGAATGTAAGAATGTCAGACAGTGGGTACTCTGAGCCAGTGTGGAGAGGAATGCAAACTGCAGCAGCAAAACACAGTGCCAGATGAACCCAAAAATGAACAATCACAGGCACGGCTCTCTGCTTTTCCAATGGGCAAGACTTAGACAACAGCCAATAAATCTGTGCTGTGATCAGAGACAGTACAGGAAGTGCCTAACCCCCAGTGTCACTGCTCTGGCTTTACTGTGGTGGAGCTGGTTCTCATTCCTGGTTTAACAGCGCTACAGCAGCACACAGAACCAAGCCCAGCAGCACGCAGTAATTCAAAGCTCAGCTAACCACCACTGGTGGAATGAGAAGGAAGCCATCAACAGAGCCTGCTGAATGCACGAGCCCTGGGTGACTTCACAGCTACAGTCTGTCCTGCCAGCCATCAAAGCCTGGATTACACTGCCAGCCCAGGTGTGTGCTGAGCTCCTCTCTCTCCTGCTGCTCCCTGCTCCTGTGTCTCCCACAGACTCAGCAGCTGGCAGAGTGCGTTGGGGAGGTCCTGAGCTTGTGTCATTCCCCTCTGGCTTTACAACCTACAACAGCCAACTACATCGTGCACAATCTTTCATTTTCTCTGTTTAATTCAATTCAAAATAGCTATCCACTAGATTTTACACGCAAACTGCCATGTGCTAGGAAAACGTGGGTTTTTTCTCCTCACACACAGCTTCTGCTGAGAAAATGCTAGGTTAGGCAGAGTTCATTGGAGTTGGGTAAACCAATGTGGGAACTGTGTGTTGTTTTTCCCTCGCTGTGGGGATCAGATCTCAAAGTTCTCTGTGTTGGAGTTACTCTTTAATCACATGGAGAGCCTCAAACCCATAAATAGGCTGTAATTTAATGTACTGCATCTAAGTTTCTGCTAGTGGATTGAGCAATGCCCTAGACTGTAATATGCTGCATTCCTGTGTCCCTTCCTAAACCAACAGATGAATCTTTCTTTCACCTCTTTCGCAGCTGCAGGAGTGTTCAAAGCTGTACATGAACCATGTGGGCACTGAAGGTAAACGGTCTGAAAAAAGAACAGGGCATCTTCTCTGGTGTGTGCGTTTAAACTGAATAAGTGAATAAGTAAATATTTTCTTTGTAATGGACTGAAACATGAGACCAGGAGCCAATCTCTCTGAGTTCTAAAAATATGTGTAGTTCTTCCTTCAGACCACAGGCAGTGCCACTGGCTTTGGGGAGCGGGGGCGCTATGTAACACAGCTGGGCATTTATCCACTGCGAGGATGCTTGACTCGATCGCTTTGTTTTCTTAGCGCTTCGCAGACCTTTATAAAACTCCATTCAAACCTTGATGTTTAAGTATTTGACTCAGATTTGATTTATGCTTTGAAAAATCAAGTTTAAAAAACTGCTTCTATAACTTGATTTATCCGAAGGCGATGGCAGGTTTTTAATGACTTCACCTGATAATGAGCACTCTTGGAAATCATAAGACACTGCTGAAGAAGTGTCTCAGCATGAGTTTTCTGGAAAATGCTTGTAATAAATCATTCAATTTTGCCCACAAGCTACTGTATGCTGGGAAAATGTTTGAAACCCTATTTCTAAGACATTTTTGAAGGCAATGACAGTTGGAGAAATACATACAGTTAAAAAAACAGAGGCGCAGTTACACCTTTAGCTGAGAAGCTCACACAAGTTGACATTTGGGCAACCACCATTTATGTATTTCCCCATTATTACTCAGTGATTTTTGACAGTTTCTGTCTGCAGAGGCTTCATACCTTTTTTCCAAATCCACATTCTTATATTCAATACTAGCAAAAGGGAATTTGGTGGAAAATGTCAGAATCCAACTTTATTGTTTACTTGAGAAAAAAATATTGGGTTTTTTTTTTAAGTTAAACTGTGAAATCAATTCCAGCTTCTACATAAGGAACTACATAAGGAACTATTCATAAAGTGTAACGCTATTTTCCTCTCAATAAGCACTCAGTAAAATTGCACATTTCAGAGAATTGAAACACACATCTTTAATTAGCTCTAGGTTCATATTAATAGACATTTGTCTCTGAAAATATTATTATTGTGACCTGAAGAATTTACAGATGACAAGAGATAAAGGAAGGGCATAAGAAAAAGCAGCAGAAATGTAACATCTCATTAGAGGAGTAATCATAAATGTTATCTAACCCAACTGACCTTTTACCTATTTAGCTGTTATCAGCCAGTTCATCAGTTCATTGCTCTTAAGTCGCAGACTCCACTCTTGCAGAAAATGAAGGTGGGGCAAAACCACATAAGGACTCTGAACAATTTCAGGGAAGGCTCTCTGAATTATAAAATCATTGCCTGGGCTCATAAAAAAACCCTGCAGGTAAAAGGAACTGAAATCAGCTACTACTCAGAGATGGGGAAGTCACAGGAACTTCATTAGAGCCATCACAAAGTAGTATAGAACAATAAGGGTCAGAAATCCCTGGTTAAAAATCTGTGGAAGAGGGCGATGAAGAGGGATCTGTGCAAGAGGTTATCAAAAACTGCACTTCTATTCTAGACACCTGAGACACCAAGTACCCTGCAGGACATGCATATTTAAATTGCACACACTTTTGGTCACTTGCTCAGGCACAAATTTTATTCAAGCTGAACAGCTCAGTTGAAAAAGGTGCAAACTACCAGAGCTCCACTACAGCCATCCCTGACTGAGGATAAAATAAAAATAGGACAAGGATTTGGTGCCTAGGAGAACAGAAGCAGCTGGGAGATGACAGACTAAGCAATTACCATTACAGATTCATCGTTTCAGAGCTCCCCAGCTGAAGGAGAGGGAGCGGTTGTCAGTGCAAAGCACAGATAATTTCAGTGTCAGCACACGGCCCGCTGAGCACAGGGGTTGGCCAGCAGCCTTCCCGTCGGCCGCTCGGCGGGTAAACACTCTGGCAGTCAGACCACGCCGGCCACGCTCTCCGTGCAGCTCCTTGTGCACATATCCCAGCTATGATGCAACCTGCAGGGGGGAACAAGCTCACAGCTCATCCAAACTCCTTCTTTAGGTTTTAGTAAACTTTCTATTTCAAAAACATCTCGGTCTCCAGGGCCAGTTTTCTTCTGGACACTCCCAAGAGCAGTAGCAATGTGTCAGGAGCCACGGCCACTCCTCACACCAGCAGGTATCTGCATATTCCCAGTGGAGCCGGTTTATAGCCAGCCATAGGCTCACCCTGCTGTGGGAACGTGGGCCTTAGGGCAAAGTACACTGCAAGGACCTGCATTTGCTCACCTGAAGTGTTTTTTTTTGTAAAGCAACTTTGGCTGGCAGCAGCATTCTGCACAGGAGCAGTACATGGGGGTGATGCAGGAAACACAGCCCCCTCTTTCATTGGCACCTCAGTGAAGAGTCCCGCTGACTTCACTGGGACTGTGCCTGAGCCAAAAGACTGCACATGAAGGAAAGACTCAAGGGACCTTTAACTTTCAGCATAGAAATATTTCCTGCCATGCACCAGCACACTGTAGTATCAACGTTCTTCCTTGCTTGGCCAGCATTTAAGCAGCAGTGAAGAATTCTCAATCTCCTTCTCCAAAATCTCCTGAAGGTTAATGCCTATTGAGTGCCTTAAAATACTTCAATGAGAAAGGACTGTAGTAGAATACAGGGTCATTCAGGCATTTTGATGAGAATTTTTAGCTTAATTTCCTAGAATTAAACTGCCCAAGCTGTGCTCACAGGTTCCTTCCAATGAGGGGATGGGGGCATGCCAGAGGACAACAGCTACCTTCAGCAAACATGTCAGAGAGCAAAGTTATACTGTTACTTCTCTCTTCTTAATAAAAGAAATAATCAAGGATTTGTATGCAAAATCACCTTTTTATTGCCACTTACACAGTTTCAAATATTGAACATTCAGATAAGCAACTGTGTTTATGTAGTTTGTTATTAGTTACTTCACCAAAATCTGGCAGAATCTCCCTGTCCAAATTCTGTACGATTCCATCCAGCAGGTCCTGAAGTATTCACTTTGCATGTTGGTATCTTGCACCAAAAAGAAACTCTTTCTGAGTGAACTATATAGTGGTTGATGAAAAAATTATTACACAATGTAGGCTCTCACAATGTCACATTTTTTTGCAAAATAATTTGAAGATTCCAAGTAAGACTTCTTTTATTCAAAAAATAAATATATCCTTTCTGAATCAAAGCACTTCATATGACATTAAGTACAAAGAAGAAATGTACTTCTTTGGAAATTCTGAAATAGACATACAAGAGCTCATGGGAGCAACATTATCCGTAACAGTGATAAAAGCTGAAAGCTGATTTTTTACAAATTTATAGCAGAACACGATTTTCTTTTACAATATAGAGCTTCAAACAGCTTTAAGAAAAACACCATTTTTAAAAGTCTGAAAGGCACATAACTGGACCATAAAACGTACTAGCACATTCACTAATATGTTTTATGTTACATTCCTAAAGAGAATCTGTGGGACTCTAGCCAAGAGAAAGACTGAAAATACCAGCAAGATCCTTTGCAAAGTACTAAAAGAGTGGCAGAGAGTTCCTTTTGGCTCTTGGTAAAATTAATATCCCAAAGCTAGAGAGTCTGAAAAGCTGCATCATTCAGTTGTATTGGGACGAGTGGCTACATAGACAAACACAACAATCAGCAGTACTACGACAGCCAGTGTGGGAAGCACCACCGTGGTGATCTGCTGCCGGGCCTCTTGCATTGCCTGTTTTCTCTCCTTTTTATCTTTGGAGGTCTCTTTCTTAGGTTTTCCTCTAAGCTGCCTCATCCTCTTCTTTGGATCTTTTTTTTGCTTAAATGTGGGACCAAAGGGAGTGGAACAGCAGAAGATTGTCCAAGGTCTTTTGAAACAAGATGCTGAAGAATTCCTTTTCTGTTGAGTGCTTGGCTATGCAAGAAACTGCAAAAGAAAGAAAACAATTCTTTTGAGCAAGATCTACACATACTGCAATCCTTAAAAACATTTGCAGCTCCCTTGGTAAACCTTTCATCCAATGGACACCAGCGCAGCTTATCTCAAGGAAACAGAATCATGGACTTCAGCTCATCCACACAACACTTTCCCCATAAAAACCAGAGCAGTTCATCATGGTGTGTATCAGTCCAAGGACCCTGAACTTGTATTGTACTCTGTTAAGCCAGAAACAAAGCCCAGCACCATACATTTTATCCTCCAAAGCAAAGAAGGTAATACAGCTAAAGACTTAATGAAAATAATCTGAATTAGTCTTGCATGAACACAGGTTCCAGCTGCCCTCAGAGGAGAGGGAGGAGGCTCCTGCTCAGGGGCTGTGGCGCCCTCAAACCTGCAGAACATGGAGGGGCAAGCACACCCCTGCCACAAGCCTTTATCATCCACAACAGGTATTTACTGGCATAAAGGATACTCCAACAGGAAGGAATAGGGAGAAAGAGCTGCTTAATTTAATACTTCTGGTTGTGCTGCCACACAACAAAGTCTAAATCATAACATGACTCAGTGCTGTCACACTTATTGCAGCTGTCATTGACAATTGAAAAGAAGCCCAAGCGATAATGAGTCTGCTAACAAACCACTGGTGTAGACAAGCAGTCATCAATAAAGTAGAATTTAGTGGTTCTGAAGTATCTCCTAGACAATTTTTAAATACAGAAGTATCTACAAAGGGAGTTTAACAGAAACACAGCATGGTGTGAAAGCCTCTCTGAAATGAGAGTTAGTAGGGGCTTAGTATTTCCATACCCAAAATTATTTTGCCCCTGATTGCACAGCGAGGGTGGATGCCAGCCATTGGTTATATTCTTCTCCACCACATCCCCCAGTTCTGCCATGGCACACCAGCTGGACACAGGCCACACATAAATAAACACAGATTTGGAGGGTAAAAATTACTGGTATCAAATACTGAGTTGAATTGAAGTACATGATGTACTCAGGTTTTTCCATCACTCTAATATACTCAGAATAAAATGTATGTAGAAATTAGTGGGTTACTGCAACTTCCTTTTTTCTTTCCCTCTTCTTTAAATGAAAATGTAAAGATGATTTTAATATGCTGCTGTAGATGAGCAGCATATGTCAACTAGCAAAGGTGCAAAGCTCAGTTCAGCCCAGACACGATTTCCTCTTGATTTGTCATATCTGGTTGATGATACAATTTGTCTTATGTTTTTCAAAAAACTAGAGGTTTCACTGAGAGTGAGATGCTTTGTTTTGGTGTTGCCACTCAATCTCACTCATCAGCCTCATCACAAAAGCACAACGGAGCTAAAAACATTCAAACACTCACATACAGAACAAGAATCCTCACCTGGAGGTTATGTGCAGCTACAAAGGACTTTTCATCCTTCCTCACAGGTAACAACCTGCCTGCTGCGAATCTCATCCAGACAATTACTTCGCATCATTTAAGGTACAATGTGGAATAACTGTGGTAAACTTGGACTGATAGAAGTGACCAGACTATCACAGCAAGCCTGTGGTACCAGAAAACCAGCAACAAGGCAAAGACTCAATACTTCTGGCTTTATATGGTCCATCCTGGATGCAATCTAAACAAATAAACAAAACCAAAACAACCATAAAAAACTTCACTCCCAACAAAAAAAAGGCTCAAGCGTGATGAGATCTCAGTGATCAGCTGGATTTGTCAATTTTATATTCTCTGCCTCTCCATCTTTCAGGAAGTTGTTTTCTGATCATAAACTTAGCAAGTTCAGCTTACAGTCTGAGGCAAACCCTTCATTTTGGTTTTGATAGAGCACAAAAAGAGAATTTTGGTGTCTAAGATATTTTTCAAAGAGGAAACAATAAAATTTAAGTCTTAAAAAGAATAATTTCCTTCTGCACAGTGCAACATTAGAATCAAAACATGTAACAGATTTAGAGACCAGAAGTGCTCAATGAACTTCACAGTGGAGAGGTAAACAGGAGCTACATGGCACAACTACACACAACACCCTGTTCCCATCTTTAAATCAAATGGGCTATGTAATTTCTAAACTTCCATAATTTTCTTCTCAGCAAATCTTCAACTCTCCCTGACTCAGGGTGAAGCTTTTGATATATACCACATGCAAGCCATGGGTTTCTGGTTTGGTGGTGTTATCACTTCCCTAATTCCTGAATTTCCTCTGGGGCAAAACAAATTTTTTACCCCTTCCATTTCCATTCCCGCTCCTCCTCTGCTCACAAGATTTATTACCAATCTCTAGAAAAACTACTATGCAAAATAAAGTTTTACCTTTGTCCTTTGGGATAATTAGCCAACCAGAGCCTTTCAGGCTGTATTTTGGTAATATTTTCTGTTTCCACTGTTAATGTACATCTGTGGATTTTGTATCTGGATTACCACAAGACCCAAGAAGTGATGGACAGCAAAAGCCTCTGGGACTTTCTGTGCACCACAGTAACAAAGAGGAGCTGCCATGAAACCAATCTCTCTAACAATAAATATATGCCTTGCTCTGTGCAGCACCACTTACTACCCAGACACTAGAAACATCAGGATGGTTTTTTAAAGTCTCTTTTGAACGAATATTTCATTCTGAAGCAGAATTATACCAAGTTAATTACATACACTGGCTAACATCTGACAGCTTAGAACAGCAAGCCTTCCTGCAAACGTCAGCACCTCTTGAATTGCAAGCTGACACTCTGCAGTTTGGGAGGCTGGCATCAATCTCCAAATACATATCTCGTAGACTGGATAGTGTTCCTTGGCTTTGCTACTGGCAGAGGTGGACTCACACAGAAACTGACCCAGAGTTTTCAGAGAAATGAGCCTTAGGGTTCATCTTAACTGAACCATAACATGGACATGGTGAATCTCTGCAAGTTGCTGCCAGGGTCCTGCTGCCATCAGGTGCCCAGCTGTGACTGCCAGGATTGGACAGTTGCTGCAGGAGACAACACTTTCCCATAGGAAAAGTCCAGCGTGTTGTAGATTCTGCTATGTTCATCCTGGAATGAAACAGTGCTGAAAAACCAGTGCTCAGCTGGATACGAATTAACTCTACAGCCCACATTGTACAAGCACATTCAGAGTGCTTTACACTGCCAAGCCTCTTACCAGTCCCTGTGGACTTCACTGACTACTAAAAATTATGGGCAGAAAGAAACAGATCCATAAAGCACATCAATGCAGTGACAGGGGCAGGATTACAACATTAGGGTCTTGTTCCCTGTGGCGTGCACAGTCCATGAGAACAAATGATCTGACTTTACTGAGCTACATCCTCCCTCAGCCAGCAACCATCCTGCTTGTGCTCTGGGAAGGCTGAATGCCAGTGAAGAGAGGAAGGAAGTAATACAGCACTGGGATGGGTGTAATTAACAGTCTCATTAGCACTGCTCATTTAAAACATCTCAGAGCAAGCCACTATCAAAAGGTCAAAGAGAAAGTGTTGTCCCACAGGCACCTCAGTCTTGTGCAGACTCAAATCTTGCTGCAGAAGAACTGGAAGCTCACCTTTCCTCCTGAGACAGAAGCTGAGTCTCCTTTCCATGGCAGTCTCCCCTGAATAGGGGAGGGCTCTCTGCCACAGGCTGCACACATCCCATCCTCCTAAGGCTGCTTCCCATGGGTATTAACTGCTCAACTGGCCCAAACATCTGGCAAGGGGGAAAGTGATCACCCAACTGGTCCAACTACTGCCTTAACTGGAAAGCCAGCAACTCCCTCAGCAGGGACACAAGCAGAACATCCACAGAAGGGATTAACCCTCTAGCAAAAGTGGCACACAATAGTCCACAACAATATTACAGCAGCCTGGCACAAGCCAGACATGGTAACTTCTCCTTACTTTTATCAATTTTGAAATTTAAAATTCAATAATAAAATTGTAAGGGGTGATGAGGTTATTTTTAAGTTCACTATAGCAAAGTTTCCCCCAAAAGCAGAACCCTGCTGGCTAGAAAGAAGCAATCTTGATTGCCAAGTCAAGACAATGAGTGTTGACTTGGTAAAGTTGTTTGAAATGCCCATCTCACAAAGCCTACCCCAGCTTGATACTGAAGAGCTAAGGTTTCCAGGAGAAAAAAAACAGCAAAAAAGTTCAGGCTATGGAGAAGAAACCTAAAGACAACGTTCTTCATCGTTCTTCATTGTTCATCCTTCTTCAACATAACACAAATTCACTAATTTACTATTCCGGGTTGCTTACTACAGCAATTACATTCCTCTTTGCCTATCATCAGCATTGCTTTTTATATACAAAAGTGTTCTTCATTCTGTCTTCTGGGTTGAGTTACTCTGAACTGTCTCTGCAGAACTAATGCCAAAACCCAAAAACAGAAATTGGTGGACTGAGTCACTGAAGTCACTCATACCAATGCTGAAGTACTTGACAGCATCTTAGACCAAGTCAATTGTGGCTAAGCTGGGACAATTTTATACCAGAATGCTGTAGTGGAACCTGACTGATATCCTTCCAAATATACCAACAATCTTCCAACCACATCTATGTCAGTCTGTCATCTCCTTTTTTTGGTAAAATTAACCCTGAGCTTCAGTAATCTGCAGTTAAAAGCTCCTCACACCACACAAGGCTATTCCTGTGAATCTTGAATGGCAGCCTCAACTCAGGCTAGACCATTGCTCATGGAGTACTGAAAATTTGCATATGCAACACATGCACAAAAGATTTTGTTTATTTGCACTTAGGGTAATTGCATGTCTCAATGTCTAAAGAACTTTATTATCACCAACCCTACAGCATGAATGTATTAACCATGTTAAACTGACTAATTTTTCTACAAATCCAAAATTACAAATGTATGCAAGCCAATTTAGCTGAACCTGGCTTCATGATCCTGCTACTGACAATGCAACATTCCTGGAACAGCAAAACAACTTGAAATTCAAACAAATAATCTGACAGGAATTAATTTTTATAATTTAAATTTTCCCTTGGGGTATGGATGTTACTGAGACATTAAAAATAAAATCAAACAACAAACCAGCAGGCAATCTGGACACAAAGTATTCAGACTGCCTGCCAGCAGTTGGAAAAAGGGACACAAGACATCCAAGCAGACAATACTCTTCATCTTATTTGAGCATTAAAAAGCCCCCAAACCAGTAGTACCCAATCACCAAGACACACCAGCATCAGAGTTGAGAAGAAGCCAAACCAACAAACTTATCAGCTTGTTACTTATGTTTGCTGCCGGGCTGATTACTTCAGGGTCATGCAGCCAGAGCTGCTGCATGGAGGCTGGAAGAGCCATTGGGGCCAAGAGCTGGAAAGAGGAGGTACCTACTCCAAGGGCAAGAGGAATCCTGGCCAGCAGGGAACCACTGCTCAGCACTGTGTGGCCATTAAAACAGGAGCACTCCTCATCCTCATGACAAAGACCATCCCTGCCACCAGAGAAACAGGACTGTTCCTTGAGTGCTGCCGAAGCCCAGGCCATGGCGCAGCATCCTCTCCTTGCACAGTCCCAGCAGAACAGACACAGGGGCTCTGTACAGCCAGAGCAGCAGTGCAGGGCCCCCTACACACAAAGCTTCAATCCAACTTAGCTCATGGAACTTCAGCTCCCTGCAGCCGAGGCACTGACTGCTGCAAAGGGACAGCAGCTTCTGGCAGAGCAGAAGGAGCCCTGACATGCTGCCCCACCCAGCATAGCGAGCCCAAAACCCACAGGTTAGCTGAAGAAATATCATTCTTATTTCCATCCTTAACAAAAGTGGGGTTTAAGCAACAGAGACACTTCATTTCCTAGCTTTGAAACCAGGCAAACGTTTTGAGGTTTTGTAATGAATAACTGAACTGCATGTAACACTGTTACACAAACCATGGGTACTGTTCAATAAAGGAAAAGTCTTATTTTAGGCTACCCCACAGAATCACAGAATTACACAATCAGCTGGACTGGAAAAGGCCTCTGGGATCATCAAGTCCAACCTGTGACCAGACATCACCATGTCAAATAGTGGTCAAATAGACCATAGCACCAAGTGCCACATCCAGTCTTATCTTAAACCCCTCCAGGACTCCACCTTCCTGGGCAGCCCATTCTAAAGTCTGATCACCCCTTCTGTGAAGAAACTCTTCCTACTGTCCAACCTGAACCTCCCCTGGTGCAGCTTAACACAGTGTCCTCTTGTCCTGTCACTGTCACTAATTGGGAGAAGACCACAACTTCTTTTTAGGTAGTTGTAGGGAGTGATAAGGTCACCCCTGAGCCTCCTCTTCTCCAGGCTTCTTCTCCATGGAACACATATTAATTTTTTTACCATTACTTCATAACTGATTTTACCTTGAGGTGACACACCACATTTTGGATGGGGAATTTTCCTTCCTGAAACTCTAAGGTCTGGCCATCAGCAAGGTCACCACTTTCTAAGGTGATTTGACCAGATTAGACATGCAGCTAAATAGGAATGTGAAAAGCATTCCAGTAGGAGTCTGGAACAGATGTACAAGCAGGAACACTGGTGCATGGAGCTCTAGATGAGGTCTCCAGGGAGTACAGTTCAGTACACAGCCTTTCTATCCACTGAGGTCCAACTCCATTTTAGTTCACATTTTAGTTCTGGCAGATAGGTAAAAAGTAACAACCCTTCCATCTTCTCTGGAGAACATGTTCATCACTTAGTGTGGCTGTTACCCAGGTAGAACTTGGAGCAGCACTTGGGCCAGTTTGGAATTCATCTCCCACACAGAGACAGAAGCTAAATCTGCCCGTGTTTGTGTCAGACCCATTAGGCACCCAGTGCCTTGCAAGCTTGGCTCTATGGAGGAAGATTTTCGGGGAGAAAAAAAGACAAAAAAGCTTGACTTTAACAGTTTTTAGGCAACTGCAGTAGTAAATGTCCAATAGTATTTCCATCACATTCAGGCACAATTATAACACTTAATTTTTGACACTAAAAGTAAAATTATAGTTTAAAAACAAATTTTTCATTATTTGACTGGTTCTGTGTAATCACTTCTGTGAGTGACAGAGCAAAGACTTGCCAAAGTGACTAGGAGTTCTGAACCCTAAAGTCTGGGCCTGCCCAAAGGATTAGCAAAACCCTTCAATTCTAGTCACATCCTCCAGCCCTCTCCCAAACCTCCCCAGACAACCCACTCTAAACAACACAAAAGCAGTTCCATGGCCAAGTGAATATTCCAGCTACAGGAGAGCTTCTTATGGTACTGGAACACAGTTCTGTGCAACCACTAAAGAGGGGAACTTATTATCAATTACATAAAAAGCCCCAATTTTTAATTAGTACAAGCCATCTCCTAATAAAACAAGCAATGACTGCAGCAACAGCCAAAAAAATAACTTTCCCTCTCCATGATCAAAATGCTCTGGGACACGCATTCCTTCTAAACCGAAGCTGCACAGAATTGATGCATACCTGAAGATAATGCTTGCAATGCTAAATTTGGGATCCTCTCTTTCAGTGACACTGTCATGATTTCAGAGTCTGCTAAAGATGAAGAAAAGCATTAAGAGAAAAATTTTTGCTCTGTGAAAAATGGATTTTCACGTTACAGCATGAGGCCAATTCCTCATATCATAAAATTTTACCTCAGTCTATTTGACTGTAGCAAGGAATTACAATTAGCAAATGAAAAGAACCCTGTTTTCAAGGGTGAAAGCTTTTAATTATACACAGAGCAATATGGAACTATTAAGATTCTGTTTGAAGTCAGTTTAACATTATTTTTTAGTGAGAGGTGGTGGCTTTTTTTCTAAAGCTGAATTGACCCATCATTACTGCAACATCACATTTACTGTAAATGCAGCTTTGAGAGTCTCCAAACTATTCACAGCATTTGGAAAATGAAAGCCATCACTGAATGCTGCCAGAAAGTCAGAGAGAGCAAGGCCGCCAAAGCAGAAAGCTATTTCTGTATGATTCTCACAATTCTAAGGACTTGGGTATAGCAAGCAATCTCCAGTAGAAACAAAGAGCTGCAGATCTCTGCATTTGGGAGGCGTTGTTAAACAGAGGCCAGGTGACCTGCAGTGCCATCCTATCTGCCCTGAATGCAGCAAAGAAACCAAGCAGAATGCAATTAAAACAAAATAAATAAATAGGCAAGTTCTTTTGCTTCATGAACAGGTGGATAAATAACCCGTATTTTTCCTGGTAGAGAACCAACATCTAGATGACTTTTGCAACAGGCAGTCCAATGAAGAAATACAACTAATGTTTACTGAAAACACAAGAAAAATAAACATGTAATTTCTGCCACTGCATGAATTACATTCCATGGGGAGGCTGTAAAAGAAGAGCTTGGCATTCTGTATCTCCACAGCTACAGATGATCTTGCACATAAATGCAGTAAACCACAACGTCTAGCATATGACTTGGTATTATGTGTTTGCTCAGCTGTTTTCACAAAAGGTAATTTTCTCAGCTGTTCCTGACAAGGCTCCTCTGGATACAAAACATTTATCTTTCCAGTATATTTACATAAATTCAGTCAGTTTGTAAACAGCTAGACTAAATAAATAATAACCTAGTCACTGGTGTCAGAGATTCTCAAAATTTAAGTGCTGCTTTCCCAGACCAACCTCTGGCATCTGCCAGAAGGGGCAGCAACAGGGACCTGGTGTGAAAACAATGTTTCTGTTTTCCAGTTCAGCTGTGTCAGCCCACCCAGACCTCGAGTGTCACTGCTCACACCTCAAGCTGAACTGTCACCAGAGGGTAGCAGCGCTCATCTCCTGAAATGACGACGACCTGGATGGGAAACACACTTTTCC